AGTTTCTGGGAAACATTTATGCTAAAAACTTGAGCAGGGATAGGAAACCTTTGACCCTCCAGATGTTGCTGAACACTCCCATCATTCCTAGCCATTGGCCATGTTTGCTGGGACTGATAGGAGTTGTAGTTCAGCAATATCTGGAGGGCCAACGGTTCCCCAAACTTGTCTTAGGTGGTATCTAATAAAGGCTGAAAAGTGAATAGGGCCTAAATGAGGATCAATTAAGCACATGAATTTGGTGTGGTATCAATGCAATATAAAGATGAGCAAAATAATTAATGCAGCATAAAACACACCTCAAGGTCTGTTTCTACAACATCCACTGGTGTTTTAGGCTGCAATGTAACAATACTTACCTGGGAGCAAGTCCCATTGGACTCAGCAGGACTTGTTTGAGTAGTCAAACATAATTTTTTGCTATTAGTGAGTTATGATACAAAGTAGCATTTTACAGATAACCTCCACTTGATTTATATAACCTAATCCACTACCAGATTTTCAAAACATTAAAGGCTGAGAAAATTTATCTTCCAAATTAGCCATCAAAAAGATTTATTTTCAATGTACCTTCAAATTTGTCATCAAAATTAGAAATGGATTTTGCCTTGCCTAATTATGTTGTTTAAAGAGCTACATTACATTGAGAAAAATAACACTGTCACTCTTTTGAATATTAAAAATTATTTTTTACTGCCTGTTTCTTTTGCAGCAAAACTTACTAAGAAGCCTCTTGTCTGAAGTTTGTTTTTTTGGTAAAAAAATATATGACCAAAGCTCAGAGCATCTTGTGACTATGCTTTCAAAGGGCAGGCCAGAGTTTTCATGATCATTTAGATGTTGCAATGCCAATGAGGGAGAGCAAACAACTGTTTACTTTCTAAAGTGTCATAATACAGATCAGAGTTCAAAAAGAGAAGCTACAGTTAATGTTTGACAAATAGTACTATATCATTTTACAGTTCTGAGGACTTCAGTAGAATTATTAATAACAGCATATTTTACATTGATAGAGCAGCTTGAAGATAAGGTGCAATTTTTTAGTGAGGGAAAGTAGTAAAGCCAAAATCAGCAGCTCCTGATAAGAGATTGGTTGTGCCTTCCTATTTTGTTCCATGCTGTATTCAATTGTTGTAGCAGACTAATATGACATACATATATATTGGTTAAATAATGCCTAAGTGTTTTTCATTGATGCAGTTAACTGTAAATATATTTTGTAAGAATTAAAGTGCACATTTGTACATAAATACCTGAAATGGTGTAAATACTTTATGAGAAATCTGTTCTTATATATAGATATATTAAATGCTCTGATGGATTCACTCACTCATGAAGGCATCAAAATGGTTAGGATCTTGCACAGAACTAGGAAGACTGGACATTTGGTACATAATGTTGCACACCACCCTAATCTTCAAGCACTGCAAGATTCCAGGGGCGGCAGGTGGTTTCCCAGGGTTTGGATTCCTTGGAATGATTATGGATTGCTTACACCCATATACAGCCCTGAGCCTACAGCACCCCAGAAGGTCTTGCTTCTCCCATAGCCACAGCCTTGAACTCAAGCAGAAATCAAGCATGGTTTTCCTTCTCAGGCCAGAAACCTGCCTCCAGCTTCTAGCTCTCTCACACACAACTCTGCCTCTGTCCTTCTCACCAACAGCTGGAGAGGGGCCCACTTTTTACCCTAAGGGGGCCTTAACTCACCAAGAAGCTGGCCTGGCTATTCCAACAATTGAATTCTTGCTGGATCTAGGAATTAGAAGGGACTCTGGCATACAGCCTAACCTCCACCCCACCAAATTATGACACACCATTGTCTGAGGTGCTCCTTAAATGTTACCTAACCATGCCACACTTCATTACTTAACCATACAGATAGGCTGGAATTGCATGGGTGCTAACCTCAGACTCCATATTCTGGGGGGATGCTGATTCTATGGGAAAGACCCATACAATTGAGTTAATAAACATTTTCCCAAGTGCACTGCATGTGCTCACAGAAAAGCAGTTCCCTCGCAGCTAGGGTAACATTTTTTAAAGAGACTCTTAACAAAACTGAACAGAGTTGCAGATTCAAAGCAAATAGTGGAGACACTTCTAGGGTCCATAGAAGACAAATATTTGACATAAACTGCAGTCCATCACACTCTGATTAACAGAAAAGTCTTAATTGGGGACAAGATGACAACACCCCAGGTGGTCAAGGTACTTTCAGGTCATTCAGAATACCAAAATGTATTACACACGTCGTAGAATGTTATGAAAAGCTAGACATTTTCCTAGCCTTCAATCATATATGAAAGTTACCTTATTTTAACCAACATTGCGGCCCAAAGCAAGCCAATCCAAACATCAGATGAAATGCAGAGTCTCATCAGGTTTGGATTTGTGGAAAAGGGAAACAAAGTAGCAGCCATGAATGTAGGTCTTTTAGCTTCATTTGTTAGTGTAGATACATAGACAGCCATTTTTAAGGGCTGATGACCATTATTCAGATCCTGGCTACTGTGTCAAAACATTGTGAAAAAGCAGTAGTTTGGTGATGCAGGGATGGCCCACATAAGTAACTTAACAGTTATCATCCCTCACAATAAATGAGAATTATTTGGAAGCCTTGTCAACCAATGCTATGTAACTTACAATTTATAGGGCCAAATCACTCTGATTCATGGGCTGCATTGAGTAAAACTACTGCAAATTTAATACTGAATGTAATACTGAAGTAAAAGTCGTACTATATGAACAGTAGTGCAATGTATGAGCTTTGGGAGACAGTGTTGCTGACCCAGCAACACCAATGACCATTATACTGGGTCCCAGGGAAGCAGAACCCAACTGCTCAATCATGTGGGCCACTCGCCAATTCTGTAGCTCAAGATCAAGGCATTCAGCTGAGGGCCTATGGAAGTATAGAAGTATATTCTATTTAAATCAGTGGGAATTTGTTCAGGACTAGTATGTCCAGCTCGAGTATAAAACGTGTTTCTATTTCTTCCTGCATTGAATTAAAGAAGTTTCAGCAGCGGAAGGTAACTTGAAAGGCAGAGATATACAAATAAATATTTATCGTAGAGATAATGGATAATTTCAGAATAAGCAGTATAAATTATGTGTGAAGATTTTGATGAAAATCATATCAAAATATATAAAAATGGTGGGATCCTTTATTGTCACTAAATGAGTGATTTAGAATGTTTTACTTCAAATAATTTTTCTTCATAAAAATTTGCTGCCTGTGTTTCAACACAGCACTTATTGCAAAAGATTAACTTTTAAAAATTCAGTAGCCCCATATTATCAATATCAACTATGAGAATCCAACATGTACTCTTAAACTAGTCATGATATACTTTTTATATGTCTGTTTTAAAATGAGGGGCATATATCCAACTGTGGGACATCCACTATGTGTGTGTGTATAAGAATGAAGCCTTAATCCTGCCTTTTTCGAATTTAACAAGTCTTTAACACCCTTCCATTTTGTCACACACTTTGCCCTATTTACAGTCTTCCGTTCCTGGCTGGCGCTTCAAGATCCTTTCACACCCGATCTAAGAGTGGCTGTACGTGAGTGAAGGGAGCAATGTGTAATCCTGGGCCCAGGACTTATTGTCTTGGGCATGCCTCTCTTTCCTGTGCACTGACGGGATAACACGACTTGTTTCAGCTGACATGCTTTGATCAGCAATCTCTCCATTCCCTGATGGGTCCACCTCCCCCACAATGCCGGCTAACGCTCTTAGCAAGCTGACATGTATCATGCAAGCAGCCATTAGAGCAGTGTTTCCCAACCTTGTGCCTCCAGCTGTTTTTGGACTACAATTCCCATCATCCCTTGCCACTGGTCTTGCTAGTCAGGGATGATGGGAGTTGTAGTTCAAAAACAGCTGGAGGCACAAGGTTGGGAAACACTGCATTAGAGGGCAGTCGCAATTCAGGAAGCAGAAGGGCGGCGAGAGCTGCTGCAGCTGCTGGGGAACCGTGCGGCTAACTTCTCAGAAGACCGTGTCTCTTCCGCTCTCCTAAGCAAGAACCCTATTTTGACACCCATGCAGAGACTGGCCGCCGAAGCACAAATTTCTGAGGTAACAATGGGAGAAAGCAACATGTTAGAAAAGGAGAGAAGGAGCATAGTCCACCTAAATGGGGCCTCCCAAGGTTTTTTTTCCGCCCTTCCGGACAAGGCCTCAACATGGCACCTACGTTATAAGGCGGGCCTACTGTGGTCTCAGGGCTGATAATAACCCGATATCGGGTGTCCTTTGAAACTCTATATCTCCTTTGTCCACGTGTCTGTTAAAACGGCTCAATGCGATTTACACCGAAGGGGGAAAAAACATACAAACATAATTATGCTTGAGACACAATGGCCCAGCTCCTTGCCTACCCTACACAGAAAGCAAATTCAATCGCTACCCGCCAGCCACACCTAAGAGAAGTGTTTGCAGAAAGAAGGGTAAAAGATGTGCAGGCATTTAACGAATTAAACGTTTCCGTCTGCGTTCAGAACAGTCAGGAATCCTGTTCCCCCCTGATATTTTTCCTCTCCCCAAACCGAGAGGACTAGAGACTTTACAGTGTAGTTCGTTCTCTCTGTTTTTTTTAAACTAGGCAGCAAATCTGTGTTCCGTGGGGTTTATTATGGTCAGTTAAGCGAGCAGGGTGCGTATATGCCATTCCACAAGGGAGCTTCGGAACTGAAGGGGGTTGTGCTGTGCATATATCCATTCCCCACAACCCGTCTTAAAACTCTTGCTTTGGCGGGAGCTCTTTTGAGAGCCCAGTTCTTTCACCTTCACGCGACAGGAGGGCAACGGTGAAATACTAGGTCTTGGCGAGCCCCTCACAAACGAGCCACTTTAAGCCTTTCTCGAGGAGGCCTGAAAAAGCGGCTTCCGCGTCGCCTCCAGGCAGCCAGGCAGGCGGAGGGAAGAGGAGGAGGCGGAGGCGGCGACGACGACTCTTGTTCAATAACAATTCACGCTGGAGGGGAGGGGGGGACTATTGCCATGGCAACCCCGGCCTGCCTGTTGGGAAGAGGCCGCCGCGGCGGCGGCCTAAGACCTACATGGAGAGCGGCGGCGGTTTGACCGGCTTGGCCTCCGGGAGCCCTGAAGATCCCGGCCCGGCCCCGAAGCTTGCGACCGACCTTCCCGTTCTCCCGAAAGGTAGTGGCTGGGGCTCTAGGCCGCACCTCGAGGCGAAGGGCGGGCGTGGTTTTATTTTTGCGAGGTGGGGGCCGGGATTCGGCTTGTCGGGGACATAAACGCCGAGAAGCCGGCGCGGGCTGAGGCTTGAAGAGTCGCCTCGCTCTGCTCCTCTTCCTCCTCGGGGCCCTTAAGGCCTCGCCTCCCTCTCGCGACGGTGGGATTTCCTTTAATTGTACGTAATATAAATATGAAAACACGTTATTATTTGCGTGCCGACTTCGTTAAAGTTTCCGAAGTGGTAACAAAAACCAGCACGGGTACGTTGCTTTCCGTGCATTAAGAAAACCACAAAATAATGGCCTACAATTTATATTTTGCGTGAGGCTCGCCGTGAATAAATTCCTTTTTACTCCAAAGTAAGCCCTCCTGCGTTACATGGGGCAAGTAAGACTTTTAGGTCGCAACCTAAAATGCCAAAGGGGAGGTGAATTAGGCCACCAATAGATATGTATTTTTTTTTATTCATAGCAAGAGGGGCCATCTTGCAGGAGGGTGTAGCAGAGCTATGGGGCCACGTGAAAAAAGGCCTTTGATGGAAAATAACCTGAACAGAATGGAGGATACAGAAGGAAATGCTCCTACAATCAAACCTCAGACAAACCTTGACCACCTGCCATTATGGCTGGAACGGGTGCGAGTTTGAGGCCAACAAAACCAGGAGGGCCACAAGTTCTCCATCCCATTTTTAGGGCATTTTACTGCACCAATAGCAGTAGGGGCAAAACAACACTAGGTACTGGTAGGTAGCTCCCATGCGGTACTGCAAAAATTAAATGTACCTTTTCCACCACCAGAAGTCCATTCTTCACTTCAGGCCTTTGAATCATCCTCATCCATAGTGTAGACAGCTATAGTTTCGCACATAGTGAAACCAAGCTGATACGTGTGTCTCCCCAAAGTTTTAGTCACACTTGCCAAGTCATATATGTCAAGGGGTCACAGCACTCATTCTTTTGTACTCTTAAGGGGCAAGCTTTCATGGCCTTCTCAAATACTGTACTCAAGGAAGTGAATAATTAAGTGAAGACAAAAGACAGGATAAACACCGTCTTGTGCTCTTGTTCCCAGTACTTAGGGTGATAATTGTTCTCTATATATTGTTCCATTGCTCTTTCAGAAGTACAACAGTTTGCTGCCATGAATGAGGAACCTGCCACTATTTGTTTCAATGAAGATGATTATTACTGTCCTGTTTGCCAAGATGTGTTTAAAACACCTGTGAGGATTTCTGCTTGTCAGCATGTGTATGTATCTATGTCTCTGGCCCATTTTTATTTGCCCCTCCCTTGTTAATTATATATTTTCTCCCTTCCCTCATACTCTTCCTATCTAACTGATCTCAGTAAACATTTGTATTTTTTAAGGAGGATGTTCTCTTGTTAACCCCACTTTTGAGGAGGATGAAACTACTTTTACTAAACAAGTGCCAATTCATAAATTTTTGTAAGTGCTTCTACTCTTGTATATGCTGCATACGATACTTTTTCTTGAAAAATCACCACAGAAGCCCTCCATGAAGTTTGTGCTTGCTTGTTAAAATACATCTACTGCATCCTTTTGAGTTCCGTTTGTTCCCATGCACAGCACAAATTCGAACATTTGCTAAGCTTTACTAAGCATGTTCAGTGTTGTAACCCAGATAATCTTAAAGCTACTCAGAATGGAAATAATTCCAGTTTTTGGATGTAGATAAGAATAGGCTTACTGCACAACATCTCATAAAAGCAAATTCCATAAATTCATTACATGCTATGTGATAGTGGTTTTTTTTTAAAGAATGTATTGAATCTTCTGTCATTCAGTTTCATTGGATGACCTTGAGTTCCAATATTATGAGAGATGGAGAAAACTTCCTTTCAATTTTTCAACATAAGCATAATTTTATAAACCTACACAATGATTCCTACCCATCCTCCCTCATTTGCCTTTTTCCTCACTATTAAAAGCCCCAAATGTGATGACTTTTCTCATCAGAAAAGTGCTCTAATCACTCTGGTAGTTATCTGTATCTTACTATTTCAGATCTGGCTCAAGTGCAGATCTATATAAAGGTGTTTTTTTTTGAAAGGCGGTTTAATTTTGAATGTATTTTGTAATTATCCTTGATGTACAGTTTGCCCTTTTCACAGCTGGTGTGCACTGGGTTCATTTTTCATTTTGTACTCTGTCATAACCCCTCAATATCTTTCTTTGTGAGTAACTGGCAGTTTTGATCCCCTGAAGTTAGGTTTTTTTTGTCTCAGTGTGCATCACTTTGAATCTCCTTTGTCACCCCCACCTCCCATTTGCACAGTTTTGATATGTTTGGGAAGTCTGCTTGGATTTTGACCATCCCCAATATATACTGTAATCTGCAAATTTCACTGCTTCACTGCTCTCCCCAACTTTAAATCATGAGTATATGAGTTATGACAGACTAGTGAAAGTGGTATGCTGTAGTAATGATAATGGGATTAGAATAACTATTAATTGGTAAAGCAGAACATTATTTTTGTACTCAACTTTATATTTGGGTTCAGGTTTTGCAGGAAATGTTTCTTAATGGCTATGAAAGAAGGTGGAACACATTGCCCACTATGCAGAGGCATTGTCACCCGAAAAGAAAAAGCACGTCCTAACAGAGCCTTAGATGTTGAAAACAACATGAAGAAATTGGTGGGGAGCTGTAGATGCTGCGACAAACAGGTATAGTAGATGTAAAATAGTGTTAAAAGTGGGTAGAGGCTGAAACTCTGTATGCTTATCTAGAAGTAAGCCCTTTTGAAAACATGCATAGGATTACATTGAAATAATATTTATTGCAGACAGGTGGGTAGTTCACCATCATCTACCACATTTTACATTATGAAGATTCTGAGAAAAAGCAGACTGACTTTGAATAACAAACAAGTGTTGCAACTAGGCACTGATAGAATGTATTCCTTCACTTTTTTTTGTTGTGATTTGGGAGCACTCTAGTAAATTAAAACTGTTAATAATACTGAAGAAGATGTGGAGGTACAAGAATGGCTTGAGCAGTGACTGTAAGACTATCTTAACCAGTATACACTTTGAATTACCTGATTGAAGCTAAAGCAATCCCCAAAAGAAGCAGCTAACCATATGTGCATTAACTTTTTATCTATCTTAAGGTCTTGGGAAGCTCAAACCATAGAATACTGTAGAGTTTTATGATCTGTCACCTGATCTGGTTGTTTAACTCCTGTGTTGAGCTCAGTAAAACAAAAATATTTATAAGGCACGTAAGAAAATATGTGTTAATGCTTAGTTGAATGAGCTTTCAGTATTGCAAATCAAGGGAATTTAGAAGAAAGTTTTGTAAACTAGTTGACATGATTTTCCTCAACTAGTCACAGGAGTAATTTTTTTAGGCAACTATAGGATTGCCCTTAAATGAGATTCAACTCTAAATGAGACACAACTTTATTTACAGATAAGATTCTCGCGTATGAGACAGCACTATAAATCGTGTAAAAAGTATCAAGATGAGTATGGTGTTTCTTCTGTAATTCCAAGCTTAGACATATCTCAGGATTCAACAGGAAACAGGTAAATACCTATTTGCAAGCAGCTTTATACATTTTAATGCTTGCTTTTAAAAAAAATGTCCCAAACTATTGTATATTGTGTTCTTTAGATTTGGCATGGGGGAAGTTGTTAAACAATGTAGCTTAGAATTTATTCACAGGATGGTTGAAGTGTGACAGTAAAGTACACTTTATTATGTTATATCTAAATGAGAACTTCCGACACAATGTTATAATTATCTTTTAGGCTTTGGAACTTAGTTCTGATTATGAAATGCCAAAAATCACTATTTAAAGCAACAAAAATTACTTTGTTTATTGCAAACCTTTGTTTTGTTTGCAGTATGGGCACCAGGCTTCAGCGGCCCTTGGCATAATGGTGATAGTGCCCCTCCTCAAACAAAGGCAGGGCTCAGTCCTCCTCCTCTACTGCTTTGGTGGTCCCAGTGCCACTCACTGTCCTCCACTCAGATGCACTTCCATGGACATGCAGCAGCACTTTTGAATGGGAGCTAAGCTCAGCTTCATCCATGCTGGCCACCCAACACCTTATGCAATGTTTCTGAAGTAACCTAAAAAATAATAATGTTTATTTAGATAAGAACATCTATAGTCCAATTCTAAACATGCATTTTTTGAAAGCAAGTCCCACTAGTATCAATGGGATTAATTTATTCATCATACTGCTTTGAATTGCAACCTCTTCTGTATTTAATTTGAAAATAAATTCTCACGCTTTGTATGAAGTTTTAGAAGTGACTCTTCTACTTCGGAAGTTGGAGAAAATTCTAATCTACATGTTCCTGAAGAAGCTACAAGGTAGGACTACCTTTGAAATCAATAACTATGTGGTTTTAGGTATTGGTGGGAAGGAGTGCCAACAAATGAAGGGAATCTTCAGTAGAAGACAAATTTCAAAACAAATATCATAGTCCAGTGGCTCTGATGTATGCTCATGCAGGGACGTTAATGTGTGGATCCCAAGCTTTGAATAAGAGATGCTTCCTTACTGATTTCAGTGTCAGGTATTAGATTACCAGGTGACAAAGTAAATAAAAAAGCTATTTCTCATTAGAACTTTATGCATGCATTGACTGCCTCGTGGGGTTTGGGCTGGGGCCCATTTGGCTTTCTTTATCTACCTTCAGGTCTTTTCACGTATGTGTCAGGCATGGAGAATTATACTCCTGTATCAGTTAACCTGAATATTTTGTATAAAAGTGGTTTTCAGCCATTGGAAACCACTAATGTGAAGGTAGCACAAAGCACATCACGCTACAGTTAAACTTCAAAACAAGGCAGAATTTTAGATTTTATCAAAATTTGAATTTTGGGTTTAAGGTATTAAAACAGATTTGTGTCAAGGTGAAGTATAAATAGGTATGTGATACCTTATAATATATTTAGGTCAGGTAAAATCAGGAAAATGGAATTTGATTTGTTTCTTAGAAAAAGATATTCCAAAGAAAACAACTTTTTATATTTGAAGCAGTGCAAAGTAATCCTGTGATTTACTGCAAAAGCTGCTGGTGATAGATGAAAGAGATCCTGTTGAAAGACTAGGTAATCTTAAGAAAACACCCCAAAAAAGCCTTAAACTGAAAAATACATAGCATGACCTCTCTTCCATTGGCTTAATAGATATTCTGTTATTCTTTTGTTTTAAATCGCACTGTAAACTGCCCTGGAATATTAGGAACAGACTATATACAGTAGTACCTCGGGTTAAGTACTTAATTCGTTCCGGAGGTCCGTTGTTAAGCTGAAACTGTTCTTAACCTGAAGCACCACTTTAGTTAATGGGGCCTCCAACTGCTGCCGCGCCGCTGGAGCACGATTTCCGTTCTCATCCTGAAGCAAAGTTCTAAACCCGAGGTACTATTTCTGGGTTAGCGGAGTCTGTAACCTGAAGTGTATTTAACCCGAGGTACCACTGTAAATACCTTAAATAAATCAGCAAACTGCATTCAAATATGTTAAAATTTGACTTAGTGCTACATGAATTCACTACAGCAAGCCTCAGTGTGTTTTGGTCTCATTTTATGCATTTCCTCCTTTTGCTGAAATTAATGGGGAAATGATTGTGGGTGACAGAGTTCCTTGAACATGTAACATGCTGTTGCAGGGATTTTCATCCATGTATGCCTCTTTCTCATATTTGTTTTCAGTGGACAGCCTACATTCAAATGCCCTCTGTGTCAAGAAAGTAACTTTACAAGGCAGAACTTATTGGATCACTGTAATGATAGGCACCTTTATCAACTAGTTCCAGTAGTGAGTATGTGTATATAAAAAAGAATGAAAGTTTGTGAAGATTTTATCCTAGTATGTGTGAATTAAGCGCTTTTTAAAAAAATTATCTTAATTCTATGACAATAGCAATATTTTCAGAAAGAATGAGCCACCCTCTTCTCCCTTTAGTGATGGATCTAGCAGTTACACTATTTTCCTCAGTTTTATACTGAATGACGTTTTCCCATTTCTGATCTTTTTTTTTTTTAAAGTACTTAGATCTGTAATTACAAGACATGTTTTCCATTTTCAGTTTGGGATTATCATTGTTTTATTTAGTATTCAATAAGTTTTCTTAAGGGACGTGGGTAGCACTGTGGGTTAAACCACAGAGCCTAGGACTTACCGATCAGAAGGTCGATGGTTTGAATCCCCTTAATGGGGTAAGCTCCCGTTGCTCGGTCCCTGCTCCTGCCAGCCTAGCAGTTCAAAAGCATGTCAAAGTGCAAGTAGATAAATAGGTACCGCTCCGGCAGGAAGGTAAACGGCGTTTCTGTGCGCTGCTCTGGTTCGCCAGAAGCGGCTTAGTCATGCTGGCCACATGACCCGGAAGCTGTACGCCGGCTCCCTCAGCCAATAAAGCAAGATGAGTGCTGCAACCCCAGAGTTGGTCACGACTGGACCTAATGGTCAGGGGTCCGTTTACCTTTACCTTTTTCTTAAAGGACTGCCCTTCATTCTATTTTTTCTCAATCTGTCGCACAATACATTGCTATTAGACACATTTAAGTCCATTTGAGTTCAGTGGAAGTACTAAGCACTTAAGGAGTGCCCAGCTGGGGCAGGATGGTGCCCTGTTTTACAAGTAGTGCCCAGTATTGTTTAAATAGGAGATATTAGAGACATACACTCTTTTAAAAACTTTTTGTCTTAAGTCCCATTTTCCAAGATTCGTTTTGTAAAAAGATTGCTTAAGATTAAGGGCAGAAATAGACAAGGAGTATCTTCTTTAGAAACATAAATGTTCAGTGTCATTTCCTTTAAAGAATTTAAAGTATGTGTAGTTAACTTTTCAAGTTTAATCTCTTCTATTCACATTCCTTCCAGGAGTATCCTTTTGTTTTAAGAATGTGTCTATTTTAAGGCATTTCTACGTAGTATGACGTAGTATGATTTTCATAGAAACTAATGTTGATCTACTATCTAGTTATGTAATTTATGTGAGCAATTGTCTGCCTCTTGATTCTCTCTCTCTCTTTTAAAGATCTGTCCTATTTGTGTCTCTTTTCCATGGGGAGATCCTAACCGGGTTACTAGAGATTTTGTTGGCCATTTAAATCTAAGGCATCAGTTTGAGTATGGAGATTTTATGGTAAGAGCTTTTCTTTTGTTCTTGCTCCCTATTTAAAATGTTGACATTTTTTAATCTCTGCTGGAAGACTAAATTAGAGCCTTATTCATCTTGGATTAATTTGGGTAAAAGCACCTTCTATATTAGATTGCCAGATTTAAATTACCTAGAAGCCTGGCTTTACCAAGTTCTACAGCTGCCCTGGTAAATTGTGAAATCTCTTTCCTAGGTAAATTTGGAGAAAAGGCTAGAAAAGCACTTAGGGGATTTTGTGCATTTAAAACACTTCTACCCTGCTTTAGGCATAAAGGTTCCAAAGTCAGTTTATACCTCAATAAACCATGCATATACTAGTCTCTACCCTGAAGCTTACAATTTAAAAGAAAGGACACACAAGGAAAAAGATGGGAAAGGACAGGAAAAGCAGACTTGGTCACTCTTCTCAAAAGTTACAGTTCATATAACAACCAGCTAAATTGGAAGTTGTTCAGGCAGCTTCATGGAATGACTGCTGTTGAGAGAGAACCAGCCAGTCTCAACAAACCTGATGAGAATAGATAGCCCTGCTTCTCTCCTCTCCTCTGTAGCCTGACAGCATGGCTGTGGTGATAGTGAAAGGCAGATGGTGTCTCAGCAGGTCTAGTTTCTCCCCCTGTCAAATGTCAGCTGTTTACTTCTGCTGCCTGGCTGGGGAACAGTCTGGCTGGGGAACAGTCTGTGGTGCTGGGATACGAACAGGATTTCCTGGACCTGTTACGCTTTACTTAGATTGGGTCCTCTGCAATCCCCCCAGCAGTCTGTTGGAAGAATTTAGGCTTAAGTGCATATATTACCTTAACCTATATCTTACAGGGCCATTACAAAGATGAAAGGGAGGAGAATATACACAACCTTGAGCTCCTCACCGGAAGAGCAAGATATAAATATATATCACAGATCATGTAAACAAAAAGAAACATGCTCAAATCCAGAAAAGCCGTTCCCATCTTGCTTTAACTGCAATGTTCCATAATCTAGGGTTGCCATATGTCCAGAATTTCCTGGACATATCCAGAATACTGCAGCTGCAAGCAGTGTCTGGGTAAAACATATCAAAACCAATTCTGTTTTATACCCCCTAAATTTCCACTGAATTAATACCAAATAACATAACTAATAATTGCTCCTTAACATTATCTCAAGTAAAAATACTGTTCCAAAACAACGTTGCTTGCTTTTCCTTTAAATGTCCTGGTTAGATGTGAATCATTGCCATAACATCACTCATAATCAACATTTTGCAACCATTCATTTCTGGAAATGTTTTGGGGGAGGTTCCAGTTTTTAGTAATTTATTTTGCTGTTACTAGCATGTTAATTGCCGGAATGACAGCCTTCTTTTCTAAAGGATCACTTATATCATTTAGCAGACTATTCATATACATTTTCCCATTGTGTGCTCTTTGTTGTAGTAATTAATGCAGAGTACATGCTGAACTATAGAGTGTAATAACTTGGTCTGGGGGAAAATTCTAAACCATTTTTGTTGTTGTTTGTATTTAGAATCCTCAGCTGGATGAGGAAACTCTGTTCCAAAATGCTGTTGAGGAATCTTGTCAAGAGAACCTTTGAAATCTCTAATTTGTTCACATCATTGCTTTCTGCGAGGGGAGAAGCTGCATCAGTGGTCTCAGTGTTAATAAAAGGGAACCCTTGTATCCAGTTTAACTGTATAGCAGTATTACTTTCCCTTGAATTTATTTTAAAATGCTTTTTATTTAAACTAACAAAAAAGCATGTTATATTATAATACTTTAATATGGGGTGTTTTTTCCTCCACATAATATTAGAAATATTTCATATATCTGGCAAAAACGTTACTGTCTTTGAGATAAAGCTATTAAGAGCCATTTTGCATCATTTGTTTTGTTATTTTTAAAGAAGTGTTACACTATAGAGAAAAAAATTGCACTGGGACAAAGTAATGACATACAGATAGTAAGGACAGGGTGGTGTTTTTTATTCTTTTTTGGATGAGTTAAATAACTTTTCTTCTATGCTTACTAAATCTATGTTAAAAGCTTAAAAAACCCCAATAATTTCTAGCCCAATACTATTCTAGCCCCAGCTAGTGTTTACATAAAAGAACATGCACACAGGGGTTTTCTCAATGCTGTCAAGAATCTCTTAAGTAGCCACAGTCTGGAGGCTTCCTAGCTATGGCATACTTACTACTTGGCCATTTTCTAGACACCAGCCACTTACTTGTAAAGTAGCCTATCTTAAATTGATATTTTTAATTTATTTTATTCAGAGATTGGTTACTTACTGGTTTTTGGATTGTATCATTATTCACTTGAGAAAATTTATAAAAACTTTTTCCAGTTCTTTAACAAAATTTGGGATAAAAAAGTCAGAATAATGAGCTGCAAGTATGTTGAAAATACTAACTGACTAAGGAAGCTTTATGGTAAGAAATAAAGAGGTCTTTTATTGGAAGTGCTGTTTTAGGGGGAAATTGTTCTTGAGCCAATACCAGCTTAATCTGATTTTAGATATGAGCTTTCTGTTAAATTATCTACTGAACACTTGTTTCAAAGCCTAGGCCTGGAAACCATGGGAATACCTGTGCTTCTTCAAAAGCCATTGTACATTTGAACACTCTAAACATGGGGTTACCACTTCATGAGTCTCAGTGCCCAAACAATCCTTGTCTAGGAAAGGGTGCAGTTGACATTCCACACAAAGCTGATGGTAGGCTCTGCCATGGAGGCCGCACGGGCCTCATTGGACAAAGATTCCTCCATAAATACTCCTAAACTCTCTGCATGTTCCTTTAGAGTGCAATCCAATCCAGAACAGGCAAGTCCCAAATTCTCAGGCATGGGAATTGGTCATCCAGAGCATCCTTGTCTTAGCAAAATTCAGCCTCACTTTTTTGGTCCACATCCTACCCACCCTGAGTCCAGGCACTGCTTCATCTTGTGCATGCCCTCTTGACTGAGAACTAACAAAGAGCTGGGTGTCATCAGCACATTGATGACACTGCCCCAAGTCTCCTGATGACTGCTTCTGTTGGCTTCATATAGTTGTTTAATAACATAGGGAATAAAATAGTGTTGTGCAGTACCCCACAACTAAATCACAAGGGTACTGATACATAGTCCCTCAGTACTGTTATCTGAGACTGGCCCTACAAATAGGAGTGGAACCACCATAGAGAAGTTCCTTCAACATCCAACTCTCAGAAGGTACCATGGTCAGTGGTATCAAAGCTGCAGAGAGAGAAGCAAGAGCAACAAAGTTGCACTCCCCATCTCTCCTCTGGGGAATATTATTCATAAGAGCAACCAAGGCTGATTTTGTGTTAAAAAACATCCTGAACCCTTATTGGAGTGGAGGCAGTTAATAGTTTTCTTCCTAGAGTGTCTACAGCTGCATTGCCACAGTCCTGAAGCACCTTGCCCATAAAGGGTATTAGACACTGGGTAGTAGTTGCGCTATTGGTATAATTAGGAATGAGCAGATTCCCTCAGTACCATGACATTGTTGCCTCTTGTCTCTGTAGCCTAATGCAATATTAGATTGCTTTAACAAAAGCTTAGTATGCAAGTCATGTGTGGTAATAGTTCTGCTCTATTCTGTGCTGGTCAGGCTGCCTCTGGAGAACTGAGGTCAGTTCTGAGTGTAGCACAGTGTGATCAGGTCAGTCCCCCCCCTTTAAATTAATTTTCATTTTTTCACATCACACATAAAACAACATATTCACAACACACAAACCATGTTGCCTAAAAATATCAACTCAGATTCTTACAGTACACTCCAAAAAAATCTTTCCACATATTACCATGCAATCTGGGTGTGTGTGTGGGTATAAATATAATCTTGATGCATATACTCCAAAAATGGTTGTCACACGGTGGGGGGGGGGAAGGGGTTAGAATTCCCTTTGGTTGCATGAATCTGGCACATCAGATTTTCAGCCAGGGCTATTGTCCATGCTCTGAGTACCATGCTTTAAAGCTCAAGCTCAAGGTAGTACACCTATTTCCGCTGAGAGGAAGAACATTAAGAGTTATTTATCAGCAACTGGTGGCGTAGACATGGTCTTTATTCCAAGTAAGGCAAGTTGAGGGGAAGGTTGTAGCTCCATTTTGTATATTAAAATCAATTCTTTAAATACCAAAACCCAAAACTGATAAACATGCCCCAAACTTAGGATCTTCCAATTCTATAGCCACTGTTTTCCTCCTGGATCTTGAATCAAAGACACCCAAGACTTGGAATGCCTTATAGTATATAAGCAAGTGGGGCACTCCCAGACCAGATTGTAAATTTATTTTTGCCAAAATTTAAAATCTTAGGCATTATAGTTATTGGCAGGACCTGAAATAGGCAGAGAAACTTCAGAAGGATCAACATATTCATAGCCACAATGTGGCTCAAGCAAGAAAGGTTTAGACTTCCCCAGGATTTCAGTTCCTCTCTAACTTGAGATAACAAGGACTCAATATTTGCTTAAAGAGTGCAAGAATTTTGATATAAATATTCCCAGATATTTCAGCTTTTGAGGACAGATTGCAAAACCCTCAATGCTTTGTATGAAAGTTTGAGACTGTTAAGACCACAATAAACATAATTTCAGATTTGGTTTCAGAATTATTCAGTTCTTTAATAACTTCAGGTATTGCCAATTCCGGTTTTGATAACATGAGAGCTATGCCATCTGCAAAAAGGTTAGTATGCATTTTACTTTAAATTTTTTCACTTTCTATATTCACATTGTTTCTAATGACTGTTGCCAATGGTTCAATAGACAAGGCAAATAAAAGCAGAGACAAAGGACAATCTTGTTTTACTCATTATAGAGGTTTCTGAGTTGAGACCATTACACAGACTGTAGCAAAGGAACGTTTGTATACTTCAGAAGGCGAGTTAATAAACCACTCTCATGTTAAGTCTATACATCAGTGATTTAAAAAATGACCAACTCAGCCTGTCAAAGACCTTGTAAAAATCCCATGAGATTATTGCAAGTGGCTTATCTTTCTTTTTACTATAATAAATGACATTCAATAGGTGTCTTACTGGATCCACTACGCCAGCGATACAGAAAGCCTACCTGGTCTGGGGAGATAAAATTTGTAATAAACACATTTAATCTGTTTGCTAAAATGGCTGTATACGTCTTAGCTTCTTGGTATAACAGGGCTAATTGGATGCCACAATCCCTCTAGGTCAAGGTTTCTTCTAGCTTTTAGTAGTAAGCTAGTACTGTTATTTTAGATTAATGCCAGTAATATGGTGGAAGTTCCGCCAAAAGAACTTCATTAAACAACTTGGCTAGATGGGGAGACAGTTCATTTCTAAAATGTTTATAGAACGTTTCTGTAAAACTGCCAGCCTCCGGTGCTTTGTATCCTCATAGTTTTTTAATAGCCATTTGCACTTCCTTTAATAGATTTATTTGAAGACTGCATATGATCCATTTCTAACTGTGTTAATGAAATTTATCTAAATAGTCATTGATAGCAAACACAGACGTTGATGGTGAGCTGTGTAATTCTGAATAAAATTTATTAAATAATCCACATTTGTCTTTTTTTTTTTGTACTGAAAATGCCAAAAAACATTTTATGTGTAGCACTCGTCTATAGGCAACCTTTTGTTTGTTGGTTTGTTTTTGTTTTTATTAAAGATTTTCTTGGTTTAGTACATGCCTTGTCTCTTTTTTCAGGTTATACAGTCTTTCTTGCAAATCACTTACATTTGTTGTGATACATTAAGTGTTGATACTGTATATAAGGTTGGGGAAGAAAGTGGGAGAGGGTGGGGTGGTGAGGCTTATGTTCTATTATATAGTGTATGTGTGAGGTTTTGTGTCTGTGTCAACTGGGTAGGTTCTCTTTCTATTTATTTATTACATTTCCCTGCTAGTGAGAGGTATTGAGGGGCAATGTTATTTCTTTAGTGGAGGTTACCGTCTCTTTTAGTGACAGTGTATTATTGTTTTGAGTGATTTCCCCCCTGCATCTATTTGCTAATAGTCTGGAGTTCTTTCCTCCATATTCATAAAAGCATTGTTTAGAGCATAAGATATTAATCACTGCTTTATTGATTTCTAGAGAGTCAATTTTTGTTTTTTTTGTTCTATGAGTTTAAGGAGTTGAGTTTTTTTTTTTTTTGCTCCTGCTTGTTTGTAGTGTGATGAGAGGGTCGTAATGTCTTGTTCTAATTCACCAATTTTTGAGGAGGTTGGTTTTTTAAGAGATGCCCTCTCCTTTATGCAGGCTCCTCTGGTGACCACTTTGATTGTCCTTAAAAGTAGTTTTCAAGAGACTCACTCTAGCTAGTTGGTTTGTGGTTAGGATGGGGCTGAAGGACCATGCTGGGGTAGTTTGTGCTTTCTCTTGAGGGTAGCTTCTACTGGGGCATGATCTGTGATTTTAATGTTACCAATGTTTGTTTCTGTGTGAGCAGAATGCTGTCCAGTCTGGACATGGTGCTGGCACGTCCAGACTGGAATGTGGCTGGTGTCTCCCAGATTCTTTTCTCTCTAATTGTTTGGGGTTTCCCTCTGAGGAAGGTTACCCAGGGGGTTGTAGGATGGATGTCTTTTAGGGATGCCTCTCCTGTTGAGGTTGAGGTTACCTCCTAGGATTGTTTACCCTTTGGAGAAGGAATTTGTTTAGTGTTTCCTGGATGAACTGTAGTTGTTTTGTGTTTGGGGCATGGAGCCAATTGTCAGTTTAGTTTTGCCATTAGCAAAAATGAATCTACCTTTTTGTGTTTTAGCACTGTTGTGGCTTTAAATTTTAGGCCTCTCCGCAGGCCTTTCCTGAGCCAGGTGCCACCCATTGTTGACTGAAGCTGGGTTAGCTCAGGCTTTTGCTACCTTTGGGTGGGTTGTGGAAGGCAATGTGTGGTTTCACTCACCAGAACAGACACTTGTGGAACAGAAGTAGAGGTCAGAAACTTTTCTCCACAAAGGTCATACTTTTTCTCCCTGGCTTTTTGGCTGCATATTTTTCCTGGAAATGATCACTACTTAAAACATCTTTGAAGAAGAAGAAGAGGAGTTTGGATTTGATATCCCGCCTTTCACTTCCTTTAAGGAGTCTCAAAGCGGCTAACATTCTCCTTTCCCTTCCTCCCCCACAACAAACACTCTGTGAGGTTACTTTATAAAGCCACTGCTGCCTTTATAAGGGATTGAGAGGTTTGGTAATTTGACACGTGGTACTCCACCAAGTTTTACTCAGAGTAGGTCCATTGAAATTAATGGCCCTAACTTAGTCATTAATTTCAATGGGTCTATTCTGAGTCAAACTTGTTGAGTACCATCCTTGGTTTTCTTCTGAACATCACATGTAAAAGTTTGATTCTCAGCAGTTGAATGCTATAGTATTGACTTTTCCTTTTCTAACTTCCCTAAAAATAATATGATTCAGTCACTAGGGGGCACCAAGCACTTTTGAAAGACATTGCTCTAAGATGCAATTTTAAAAAAATCATTCTGAAAATGTTTTTGTCCTCTACATTCATTCCACAAGTGTTTGTTCTGGTTTTGTGGTGTTTTTTAATTTGCACATTTTTCAGTCAAATGTGTGTCTTGTACAGCTTGTGAATATATCTGCATGGCAGTACTGCAAATGAAATGTGTTTTCCAAGAGTGTTCACAGTATATAGAAAAGAAGGAACGTTTGAAGCCCCATACACAATGCCATTGATCCATCTAGCTCAATATTGTGTACAGTGACTGGGAGCAACTGCAGGATTTTCAAACGGAACACTCCCAGTCCTAGTGGTAGACGTTGAGGCAACAAACATTGCTAGTTTTTTCTATGCAGGATAAGACTGCAGTAAACTGGATTTTAACGCATCTCTGATAAACGGAATTTCCCTTTTAGTGTTTTTAGGTTTTCTTAATAACCTTTGGCATGATCATAGAAGCTGCACAAATGTTCCGCAGGAAACAGCCACCATAACCAGAAACAAAATAATTGTATGTGACAGAACCGGGAAGATTCAAGGCATGCCCATAGGCAAGCTCTCCAACCCAATGTTCTAGAAATACAACCAACAATCACTCTATGTTGGCACATTGCAACTTACAGGCAACTTAGCAAGACTCCTGTCTTGTTCATCTTGGTAAGGCATGCTGCTATATCTGTGTCAACACAACAATAGCAATAGTGTAAAGCTATGTATTGTGTTTAGACTTAATTTTCTTTCTCTCTTGCACATATGCGGGCACACCACTATGGATACATAACTAGATTGCCCCCTGGCTATTCCCCCTCTCCCAGCCTTTCCAGTTTTTCAACATTGACTTGGAACTTTTTATGGGAATGAAATGGCCAGTAACCTGAGTCGTTTGGGGAATCCTCCCATCAAAACTGTTGTAACAAAGGTCTACTGGATGATGAGGGCAAGAATCAGCCTGTTATAGTGAGTACAAGCCTTTTCCCTCACCAGTCTAATTCTAAACACTGTGATACTCCTAGAAACTGCTCCAGAGGTGAATTTAGGGCAGCATGGCTGGTTCTGCCACACTGGGTGCCAAGCCTTTGGGATGCTGCAAGGGAACGCAACTATGATGTCGTGAATTGAGCAGAATGGAATGTGAGAGGCAGTGTGTGTGTGTGTGTGTGTGTGTGTGTGTGTGTGTGTGTTGGGCTGAACTTTGTCCTCAAACAGGGCATTGCTGAAATTTGAAAGACCAAAGTCTGCCCCTGACAGCTCTGCCACAGCACATCTTTCTGAAGGTTTGGGAAGGTGTGCTTCGTTTAGTCCAGGCCCCCCCACGATCCAAGGAGCAGTGCAAAATTGCCTGCGGGAAAAGAGAGTAATGCTAAAACTTCACTTTAACCTTTTGTGCATACTACAAAGCAGCTTATATCCAAGAAAGCAGGCAATCTGCAATATATGGCAATGACTAATATAAAAAAAATGCACTGATGCAGTTTGCAGTTTTTGTATTTAATTCCATTTCATTCGACTGGTTTTATGAGCAGAAGTCTAGCTATGTGCATTAGACTGATTGCATGGATTACATGTGCCTATAATTCCATTTTCAGTTTTATGATCCCATTTACTAGTTCTCTGAATCTGGTGGCTTTCTCTTGTTAATGTGGGAGAAGTTGATTGGAGAAGGTTATTGATTGCCCTTGTAAGTTTTTCTACCGAATTATGTGGCTTCTACTGTTTAAAAAAACAATACAGAAAAAGTACAAGTTGAGAGCTGAGTGTTTTTCTTTCAAAATAACCATGCTGAACTCACTTCATAGCTGCTGGGAGAGGGAGGTAAAGAATGAACAATTGGCTTTTGAGTAAGGGAGAAGTACAACATAGGTAGTAAATTATTACAGTATAAGCAATAATTTCATTCATGTTATCTGCTTGGCAACTGGAATTTATTCTGTTCTTTGTGGGCTATTTGATCTATGGATATATTTTTTAGCATTTACTTTTCTCTCTAACATAGCAGCCTGCTACTTCATCACACACATTAAGGTTGCAATCCTATATATACACTTACCTGAGAGTAGGGATGGGGGAATAATTTCATTCAGTTTCCATTTCAAAGCCAACCTACCCTAATTCATGTTTTCTGAAACAATATGACAACCAAAACACAAACATCCTTTGAAAGTCACACTTCGAAAGGTCCAAAAGCTGGCATTGAAGATGTACGCCTTTGTAATGAGATGGATCCTCTTATGCTAGACATAATCTGTATTTCTCATACTTTGGATGCTGGGCCCACTTTGTTACTCAAGAGACAAGGTAGGATTGGCAGTTTCCATTTTGCAAGTGTCAGATAGCCATAATGGCAAGTGTTCTCTTCCCTTCCTGGGAGATGCTCCAGGCTAGGGCTAAGGTGAACTCCTCTTCTAGTCATTGGCAGGAAACAGATTTATTTCAGTGGAGTTAATGAAAAAGAGGGTCACCACTGAAAAATCATCAAGCTTGATGAATAGTTAACCCATAACACTATCTGGATAAGCCATCACGTAATAGTACTGATAGGGGTGGAGTCGATTGCAGTGTGATCCTGACCAAGGCGTTCCCATAACAGTAATTGAAGGGAAATGTAGGCAACACAGACAAAATCTGATGAAGGATTTTAAGATTGGCTTCTAAATAAAGATCTTCACTTCTACAAAGATCAGCAGTGATGTGTGGTACAGATCAATGCCACTGGTTTGGACGTATGGAGGTCATGGATCTGATATATAGGATCCTAGAACTAGGCTGATCAAGGTAACCAAAGAGATTTTGAGGAGGGGAGAAATTAAATGTACTGTGTCCAAAATACTGTCAGCATAAGCATTTCAGATTCCCAAATTGAATGATCCCTGCTCTCCTTCCCCTAAATGTTCTGGGTTTCCCCCCCAAACTTAAGCTGAATGTGGCTGTGCAAATAACTGAGTCTTTGTCTAGGTTCATCATGAAGATACCTCGTTTGAGGCATCGCATTTGGTTACTTCCACCATCTTTATCCAATGAGAAGTATATAAAGGTAGAAGAAGACCAATCAACAGTCGTTTTATTCTGGCACTGATGTTCGATGAAAAAGCTGAAATGCCCTCTTGCTTCATTCTGTCAAAAGGTATATATCAAACACCTGCAATACAAAGGTCAAAGTTTTCATTTATGATGGCACTCTAGATATAAATGCACAGAAATTAAAAGATTACAGCTCTTACTGAAGTTGTACATCATGGATTTGTGGCTATTTTATGTGCTGCTGAGCGGGGTTATTCTGCAGATAGTTTGCTGTCTGGTAAGACAATAAAAAGCATACTTTAATTCTTAAGGATTAGAGTGAATTAGCACATTTGTATGTAATGTGCATATTTTTAAAAAATGCCAATAGTTTCTGTAAATCGGGGCCAGGGGTCATAATTATTGGGGTTGCAGTGGGGAGAGAGAGTTTAATCATTTCCTCCTTGGCTGTGGTTCTGACAAAAATCACTCTTTTGGAGTTAACTTCTGCCCAAGATTGCATGCTTCTACCTCCCTTCACTTCTGGTGCAGCCACAAGGATGAGATCAGAAGCTTTTACTTCCAACTTACACAACAGTTTAGCATTGTGGCTTAACCTAAAATGTGGTTAATTTTATCTATGCCAGAAAAGAAGGGGGACGTGCATGAGCCTAGGGGCAGGTTATGTTGGTTCCTATCACAGTAAATGCAGCCTCTGTCTCTGTGTGTTCTGTCCCCTATTTTAGAGTAGTTGTTTTATATATCAAAAGCTAAAACAATTTTAAAAGTTTTCAAAGTGTAATTATACAAATACAAAAAAAGAACAACAAGCTTGCATTGTTATAAGTTGTTAATGAATAAATATCTGAAATAACATTTGTACCATAGTGTTATTTCTACTTGTATCCTCTCATTATAATGGTATGTGTTCTAATATAACAAACTAGCTAAACTGTATGGTCCAAGAGGCTACTATAAACCACAGTGTTGTATCTATAGAACAACATGATAGACAAACGGCACACCAGCTATTTTAATATCCTTATTATGAAGTGTGGGTAATGAATATATTTTAATGATCCAGTATTTTCATATATGCTAGGTTATGTGTAATATCCCAGTATCCTACTGACCAATATTTAATTTTGTTTAAACACCTAATCCAAGCTCTAGTGATTTTCTTGAGCTGAGGCCTGGGAAATGATGCTGTGTCTTTTTTTGCACCTCCATATGCACACCATTCTCTTGTTTGGTACAACACTAGTTCCTCTTCCTTTCCAGTTGTGCAATTGTAGGATTATGGAAAAAGAAATTCTCTTAAACTGTTCTGTGATAGAATGAGTATTAGGGATTTTAATCCCAGCTCCAGGCAATTGCTAAGCACACCATCAGGAATATTATCACCACAGTTTCTAGTATATAAATATATCAACAAGAGAAAGCAATGGTTAACCAATATTTTTAAAATATAGCAAGAAATGGGGTTTAGTCCCATGTCTCAGGTAGAACATGTTTTCATATGTGCACAGAAAATCATAGGTGTGTAATATTGCATTGAATCTGACTTTAAACTTTTGATGCAAAACTTGCCAAATGAATTTGGCTGATGGCTGCACTTGCCATTAGGTATCACCTGTACTCTACAAATAACAGATTGTACACCTGACTGTTTCCTCCTTTCTTTTATTCTAGCCTGTTCAAGAACTACAGGGTGAGTTCTATTTTGTATCTTACTAATTGTGACAAAATAGGGGCAACAAAAGCAGCTGCTCATGAACACAGCAGACGCAAAAGCTGATTTATAATTATGGTTAGCACATTGACATTCTGATCCTAAGCGTATTTACTTGGAAATTAAGTACCATTGAGTTGAGTGGAACTTGCCTCTGAGCAGGTATGCTTCTAGAACAAAACAGAGGTGGGGAGAACCAAAGGTGTGCACTGACCAGATGGAAGGTGGGGTCTGTTTTTCTTCCTCTGCCCTCCCTGCACCCCAGTTCCAGGAGCTTTCCTTCTGAACAACTTTTGCCCTTCCATTTATCACTGTGGAGGGGCTACATCAGTTCCAGGACTGGTGTGGTTTGTCCCTGGTTCCAGAGTTGTGTTGGGGGAACAGAAAGAATTAGGATCTGGCAAATCCAAAACCTCTCCTAGCATGACTTCCGCATGCTTCCTTTTTGACCTCTTGACATTGGGGCTCTAGTGGAAAAAAACACTGGCTATGCATCTTTCTGCAACCTCATACTAGAGGCTTACAAGGTCTGATCTCCCTCTGTAGAAGGACCTCTCTCTCCACCTGTGGAGAGGGACAGTCACAGAAAGGTATGGCGTCTAGGATGCAGGGGCATAGTGGGGGGGGGGAGGCTACCAGGGCAATAGCCCCAGGCACATTATTTCAGGAGGTGTTGCACATTTGGCTCCCCACACTGCCCTGTCAGCCCTGTGCTGCTTTTTGTGAGGCTAGGATCAGATCTGAATAATTCACAGGGCAAATCATTCAGATTGGATCCCAGCCTCGTAAGGCAGTGCAGGGTTGGCTGGGCGGCGTGGGCAGGATGCAACAGCCATGTGGCCTTCAATCCCAGTCTCGCCCTTGCTTTGCGAGGCTGGGATCAAAGGGTGCATGGCTGTTGCATCCTTCCCACATCATCCTGCCAGCCTCAAGCTGCTTTCTGAGGCTGGGATGACCCAAGGGCTGTGTTGGTCACCTGGGGTCCCCTCTGCGTAGGCGGGCAGGTGGTGCAGCACAGCCCGCTTGGCTCCGGTGGCAGGTTCTGGTGGCGGTGGCAAGGACTGGGATGGCGTGGTGGGTTCCGTTGACCTCTGCACCCCGCTGTGCCCCTGCTGGGATGCCCTGCTGCCATGGACTGCAGCCTGCTTGTTGTAATGGATAAAATATAATGGCTATAATTACAACTCTCTCTGTTTTCTTTTTGTTTTTCAGAAAGAAATGAAGACAGTGGAATAGATCAAGATATCTTTGATATCAATGAAGGTTTTTTTCCAGCCTAATGTTTTAATTATTATTGTCTTTTATAATAGTGTGTGTGTGTGATCATGGATTAAAATGCACTAACCTGCTGTGAGTTTCTTTTTTAGCATTGGGACTGAACTTGTTCGAGGGTGATATCAAACTTGATGAGGTGAGTTGGAATGACAAGCAGCAGTATAAATGACTGCTAACTTGGGGATGATGAGCCCATGCTTCCCTATTGTAAAAAGGTGATAAGATTTTGCCCTAGTCTGAGATCTTCCCTTGCTTCATAGCTTCCTGATGAAGAAGCTCCTGGCTGTTTTTGTAATGCCCGCCTTTCACTGCAGCCCCTTTGAAGCTTCCCATCCTTCTACTCCTCACACTTTATTATTTTTGGTGCCTTGGCAATGGAGACTGCTACACCTTTAGCATTGCACTACACCAGGCAGTTGAAAGGAAGGATGAGATGGGCATAAAGGTCACATCAGTCCAGTGGCTGGGAAAGTTGGACCTTGAGGTTGAGCCAGGAGCTTCCTCCTCCATGTGATGCCTAAGGCTACAGGAGCTCCATCAGAGTGAGGAGCTATTAACCCTGTTTATTAGCTATAAATGTTTTCTTTATGAAGCTATAACTGGAAGTGTCTGGAGAGGAATTAATATAGAATGTCTGAGATAATAAAAGAGGAAAGAGTACTGTAAAAATGTGGAAGCATGACACAGAATATAATCAATTCAGCCATTAGGTTACCATTATTAGCATTTTAATTTCCCCCGCATTGAGATAGATGCCAGTACAACACTGAAAGCAAAAATGCTAACCCTATGCAGACCACAGTGGATGGGAGAGATTTACAGTATATCTTATAGTGTGTGTGTGTGTGTGTGTGTGTGTGTGTGTGTGTGTGTGTGATTTACAGCCTGTACATCTCATCCAATCTTATGCTGATAGTTCAATTCAATTCAATGATTAGACCACTGTATTTAACAGGCTTGTATGGTCAGAAGATTCCAAAGAAAGTTATAACCCTGTACTTAAGTGTCATGGAAAGTTAGGATGCAGCAGATTAAATTGTGGTTCCATTGTTGATTTTTGCCCAGGCAGACATACCACTGCCTCAGTGTTTCAGGGAAGGCTGTATAAACAAACACCCATGCCTTTTCTTAATGGTCTTCTGTCTCTGGCTGGAGTTAGCTAGCAGTGCTTCCTGGAGTCTATGTTGCAACTACAAGTGGATAAAGCCTCTCCCCCAATTCCAGCTATTACTTCTAAAAATGAATCCTGTGCAGCATGCGAGATAAGACCTGCCTGCCTATTCCACCAACTTGGGCAAGAGCTATGATTTAAACATACTATCTTTTTCTTTCATTGTTTGGAATTCTGTGTTCTTTGTGCTAATAAATCTAAGTTTTTTATTAGCTAACTGGTATGATCTGGTCCAAGAGAATTTAGAATGTTTCTTACTCCCTGTGATTACTTTGGTACTCTTCCAAGTAAACAGCAAGTACTGACGACCCTCCAGGGGAATTTGATGCAGGGATACTAGAAGATGGCCGTGACTTGGTGCCCCAGTTAAATCTTACACCTCCTTTGTAATACTTAATAGCCCTACTGCTCTGACAACTTAGCATGTGGCAGCAGCTGTTGACTCTTTGTAGGGTGAATCTAGTCCCAGAGAAAAACTAGAGCAATGAAACCCCCTTTAATTTGGCATATCAAGCGATGATGTGTGGGATGTGAGGTTAAGGGCCTTCCAAAAGACCTCTGGGATGTCACAATCAAGCATCTAAAGAAACTGATTTCATGCTTATGACTAATACACTATTTCAAGGATTGCCAGTGGGAAACCATGTGAGCTTTGCCCTTGACTACTCAAGTAAGATCAGGTGTTTTTTACTACAACAGAAATTGCACCATGCGGAAGGCACACATTTGAATACCTTTTCGTAATAGCTATAAGGAACATGAAGGTAGTGTGTTTGTTTTCACATGAGTGCGCAACTTTCTGAAATGTTGCATCCAGTGCTTGAGTCTTGAGTCTACATTTGTAAATAAATCCCAGGGGTGCACAGAATATTCAGTCTTGCATATAGCTGCAACTCCACGACACTGAGGCACTTCCAACAGACCAGCCCCAATTATCCAATCCCAGTGTGCAAGAACAATGAGGAACTGGATGCACCACACTGCAGATGCCTAAAGAGCAAAAGTCTGAACTCAGAGGAGTCACAGTGCCAACTCTTGTGCTTTCTTTCTCTGGATTTCTTGTATTTGCCTTCCTTTTCAGAGACCAGAACGTAACTCCATTATTGGCAATGAATATCGATGGCCTCACACCATTCCATATGTCCTTGAGGACAGCCTAGGTACGGCAGTTACGTAATTTCTTAAGATCACTTGTTGCAGAAGCAACCTTCAGTATGAACATTTCTTCTTTTCTTCAGTATTAATTTTGGTGGTGTATTTGCTAAGATTTGGGGTAAAAGGCTTACTTCATAAGAACAAATAGGATATAATTTCTTAAGCTTTTATTTTTACCAACAATTTAAAAAAGTATATTACAAACCCCACCTTTCAATACAGAAATATGGAAAAAAAATAAACTTCAGCATTTGATAAAAATGCAAGCTCAACTTGTAAATAAAACCAGCTAGGCCTGTATGTGGAAGGTAACAGCGCTAGCCAGGAATTCCAAAAAGTTGTAAAGGATACATCTGGTTTAGTCAAACCTTGGACAGATATGCTATACAGTTGTACCTCTGGTTATGAATTTAATTCATTCCGGAGGTCCGTTCTTAACCTGAAACTGTTCTTAACCTGAAGCACCACTTTAGCTAACGGGCCCTCCCACTGCCGCCACTGCTCAATTTCTGTTTTCATCCTGAGGTAAAGTTCTTAACCCGAGGTACTACTTATGGGTTAGCTGTAACCCGAAGTGTTTGTAATCCAAGGTACCACTATCTTTCATTATAAGCAATGTGCCATGAGTCAGCAAAGCAGTTATGAGTTTTCTATCAGATTTTTATGAGCTGTCAGAAGAGATGACTCCTCCAGATTCTCTTTTCTTATAGCCTGGAGGAGGACCAAGAACAACAGGACAATGCATACAGTGGTACCTTGGGTTACAGACGCTTCAGGTTACAGACGCTTCAGGTTACAGACTCCGCTAACCCAGAAATAGTACCTCAGGTTAAGAACTTTGCTTCAGGATGAGAACAGAAATCGCATGGCGGCAGCAGGAGGCCCCATTAGCTAAAGTGGTACTTCAGGTTAAAAACAGCTTCAGGTTAAGAATGGACCTCCAGAACGAATTAAGTTCTTAACCTGAGGTACCTCTGTACTTTGAAACAGAGACTTGCAAAGGCATAGAAACACAAAGAGTTGAAATTGGGCTCTGTAAGCATCTTAGGGTTCTGGCCTGGACCCTAGAGGTCTGATGCGCAAGCAGTGGGTTTGGGTTGACTGCTTGGATGTTTAAGCTATGCCTCATTAAGCTCAGCCAGTATGCAAACAGGAGTATAAATATTACACTCCAATATTATGACTCACCAGTAAGCTTCTAGTGACCTCCTTCTAAAAGAAACCAAGCCTTGATGAAAGTTGCACTGTCTTAACTGCTCAGAGATTTGGGGTGAGGGTAGCAATGCAAAGAAATAGAGGCGAAAGATTGCCCAACTTCCAAATTTACAACAAACTCCACTTAACGCTGTCTGTAGTAATAAAGTAATTATGTCATTATTTTGCACCTTCTCTCAGCCTCAAAAGTGCCAATTTGGGATTAACAGTGAAGATCTGGTTGCTTATCACTTTATAAGATGCTGCAGCCAGATTGGTGACCGGAGCCAGTTACAGGAAGAACAGAAACTCAGTGTTAAAACAGCTCTACTGGATCCCAGTACATTTCAGAGTATAATGGCTTGGAAAATAGAACTAGTTGCTTAACTTGAAGGCTTGTAGCAAATCAACAGTCCAAGGAAGCAAAAGAGAAATTTGTAGAGCAAATTGGGTTACTTCTAAAATAGGTATTTATAGTTCACTTTCCTATGCTAAAGGCATACTTGAAAAGGCTTTACTAATTCTCCCAACAATTTAAATTATATTAGTCTACCAAATTTATACTCATTAGTACTAATAGCAGAGTTTCCACTTGCTATGTGGAGGGTTAGCTGAAAGGGCATCCCTTTAGGTGAGCGATAACCAATTCTTTGTTTTTTCTTCCAGATATGAATGCAAAGGGGCTGATCCTCAATGCATTTGAACAGTATCGCCTAAAATCCTGTATTGATTTCAAACCCTGGGAAGGCGAAGCAAATTACATATCTGTCTTCAAAGGGAGTGGGTAAGAGAAATCATCCTTTTAAGTAATGTTTCTTTTTCATAGTCTCTGTACAGTCTCACATACGAGATCTGTGCCTGTCAGTGGAGGCTGGCTCATTAGGGCAAATGGGGCACTGCCCCACCAACTCCAATCTCCTCTCAGTTGGCCCTCACCCACCTTCTTACATAGATCAGGCCAGGGGATGGAATGGCTTGTCAGCTTCCTCAGTTACAGTGTTGCCCTTGTAGAATTCAACAGATAGGAGGAGGATGGGGACAAAACTAACATTAGTTGGTTTTGCCTCTCAATGGCTCTGGTTCCACCTACTGTTGGTCTCCCTTCCTTCTGCCTGACCTAGTCCCAGTGGACACCAGCCATTACTGGTAAAGACGTGCTTGAGCTTAAGTGAGGAAGCTGGTGCTCAGCCCTCCCAGGCCGAAGGGGAAAGGTACGGGGTATGCATGCCCTCCAAAGTGGGATGAGCATGTATTCAATTCAGAACCCTCTGATATAAGGATGCATCTAATATGGATACTTCAGTTAAGTCAACCACCTAATGGCTAACACAAACCAAGCGATTTTTCTATCTTTGACACACATTCCTCTTCGCCATCGTATGGAAGATTTGTGATTAAAGCACATGTCACAAATGTGATGAACCCAGGAAGCTGCCTTATACCAACTAGCCTGGGCTTGGTTTGTCTAGCTCAGCGTTGTCTACAATGGCAGCTGGTGGTTTTCCAGGGACTCAGAATGGGATTTCCCCCATCCTTCCCTGGAGATGCCAGGGATTGTACTTGCGACCTTCTGCATGCAAAGCAGTTGTTCCACCACTGAACATTCGTTACACAGTTGTACTCTGATCATTATTTTAACCAACATTTTGACTTGCAGTAGCATCACGAAACCCTTATAATGCCAGGATTTTCTGGCCTAGTCAAATCTACCCTTACTTACCCTATTTTCTCCAAAACCCTATAGGTGCTGCATTTGACCCAAGTTTTTAAAACTTTGCTTATCTATAGAGATGTTTGCCAGGTTGAGTCACAACTCTGGGTTTATGAGCCTGAACGTTGGTGCAACATTCATTCTTTGTGGCATTGTGCTGATAAGAGTATTTTGTACATCCCATTCAAAGTAGTTATATGGTTGCCTCCAGACTGTCAATATTTTGTGGTAGGGATTCAAGTGCATAATGGAAATTTAGGTTTGCCCATTTAAAGGGGATTTATGCAGCAAGCCTAGTTAGAAAAAACAACAGTTAGTTTGTGTGATGGGAAAATGCACTAAAAGTGAGATGAACAAATGAATAACTGGAAGTGTGCAGTGCACAGCAAATCAGCTTCGATGCTCATTGTTGTATAACCTCCCTGCAAGCAAAGCAGAAGGAATACCCAATTAAGGACAGTCATAGTATAACCTCTGCGTAAGCAAGCAAATTAGGTTGAATGCTCAATAAACAGGTCACCTGGAGTCGTCTTTGATTTATACTTCAAACCTTAGGCTCGGATTACATTAAAGGATAAAAGTAGGGAACCAATGAAGAAATCTGTGTTGAGTCAGGGCAGCTCTTAAGTCTCAGTATGTTTCTTTCTTCTGCTGGGATCATATTTACTTTAACATTTGAGAGGCTGCTTATTCATCTTGTCTGCTCTTGGAATTTGTCTTCCTTTCAACCAGAAGTTCCTTGTGATCGCTCAGAATGCTGAACAAAAGTAGACTGTTTTATAGATTTATAAATAACATTTATCCAGAATTCTGTTTTCTACGAAGTGCTGTATGTTCTTGCTTTTTATGGTGGCTTGTTAGCAACAGTGATAAACTGGTGATAAAAGTTATTTACCCAACCAATATGAATTTATAGTCTGCAGGAATGGCTGCATGAAATACTTTAAAAAAAAAAAACCAATTCCACTCTCATTGCCTTGCAAAATCACAGTTTTCAATGCCCATTTGTTAAAGGACTGTTTGACCAATCAAAGGTGATAAAATGTTTAAGATTTGGCTGAACTTCAACCCCCCCTTTTTTTGCAATAAAACCTGTATTTCAGTTTGAGCCTTGAGTTCAAAGTTCAGAGTTTGTCAGATTCTGAGAACTGAATCAGCTGAGATAAAAGATCATGAACTTCCTGTAAGTTTTTCTGAAAGGTTATTGCAGGATATGGAGGCTGGTCTTTTGGCTGTTGTTTTGAAGTTCAAATAAAGTCAGGAGCTAATTTTACAAAATTCGTAAGCAAGGAGTTAATATTAATTGATGTGCTGTAATGTTTAGCTCATCTCAGTGTTCATCTTTTAGTTGAGTGTGGAAGGATTTATATGTGGGGGTGGGTGGGTAAGTTTTACTTGTTTCCTTGTTTTTGTTTCTATTGTTTTGTTATTTTAATTGTATTTTTCTATTTTAAAATTTGTAAGTCGCTGAGAGAATGTCAATAGGTGTATTCAGTCCCTTAACCCCTAAAGGCTGTTGTTCTCCTTTCATCCATGTCTGCATTGTTTTGCATAGTCAGGGCTAAACAGAGTAAGTGGCTGGGTGGAGGCTACTTAAAATTCCTCCTACAATGGATGGCCCACACAGCCAGCAAGTTATGAGAAGCAGATTGCCTGGTGGATTGAGTAATGTTCCCTGTGTCTCTAAAAACCATGGTTTTTGCTGAAGGACATTGCCGGATCCACACTGATCTATTTAAACCATCTGCCTTGGCTCTCTGTGAGAGAAACAAAAGCTGGAGAACAGCATTCCTGTTTGCTCACTGATCTATATGGTGGTTGATCCTCATGGCAATTCATTTGTGTGTATTCTGGGTTTTGGATCCAGTCACATTTCTGAATTGCATAGTAAAACTGAAGATGCTGTACAGCAGACATGCATAGTTGGTTGCCATGTGTGCTTATTGTGTGACTACTTGGTCATATGGAACACTCCTAAAAGTGACCATGTGTTTACTTTCAGCATCCTGTTCCACCCCAGAGTCTTTCTACACATAATTCAAAGGGCATTCTGGCTGTATTGTAGGCATTCTGCAGACGCTGAGTTGATTTTAATGCTAGTCTTATGCAGAGTAGACCCACTGAAATTAATTAACCCAGTGAATCTGGTTTATATGTCAGAAGTCAGTATTCCCTGGTACCTGCTTGGGCCATATATTTTGTTGCTTTGCTACTCTCAACTCTGAAGTCTGCTTCTCTTTGCTGCCATGGCCTCTTCTTCTGCCCAGAGATAGGAGCAAGAGGACCCCACTTTGCCTTCTCCCTCTAGAGGTGGCCATGCAGATTAAGCCCAGAGGAAGAAGGCAAGTGAACGGGCAGCAGTGACTGTGGCAAAGAGAGAAGGGCTCGTTTCAGGAGGAGGCACTGAAGACATCTTGTTTAAGGCTTCCCAAAACCTGGAGCTGGCAAATCACTGAATGAATAAAGTTTCAAGACATACAATATTGTTAAACACACCCCGATTTCCAAGTTATGAAAGATGTAAGGGGTTCCAGCACATACTTCAGGCTTGGTTTCCTTTGAATGAAGGTCACTGGAATATCTTTGTGGTGGTGTTATTCACACACATACACCAGCTAAGCATAAAATGAAAGGGCTCACAACATTAGCACCTTAGCATATTTTGCTTTTGCATCCGTTTCTAGATGCTTTCAGCACAGAGAGCAAGTCAAGCCTCTTTCCAAGTCTACCTCACTATGAGACAAGACTGGTTCTCCTAAACCCACCAATCATCACCGCATCTCCAGGCATTGGGGGTGGGGGCCTGTTCCCCTTTAGGAACATCACTAGCCAGTCATTTCTACAGCAACACACTTAAACTTGACCAACTCTTTAGTTGTGCAAAGAGATAACTTAACAGACTTGGCTAGCCCCATTCACTTAATAAAGGAACTGGTTTGACCATTTCAGTCAGTCCTTCTGCTATAGAATCACATCTTACAGATGTAAAACCACAGGCCTTGAAGGGTCCTAAATATGACATCTAGATCAAACCCCCAATTCTATAACCATATAAAATTCATAAGAGCTTTACTAGATACATAGTCATAAACAAAGACATGTACAATGCTTAAGGCCTTACAATGCAGATGGGAATTTATGCCATCACTATTCACGCCTTGTAGAGCAAATGGAAGGTCTCTCTCTAAACCCTCTAAGTACAGGTGTGCATCTCTTTTGGTTTGTATGCACGGTACCCAATCCAGCATGGGAATCTGGACAGAAGCAATGTCTCTGCAAGTTCTGCCTTGCAGAATTAGTGTGACCAAGTGAAAAGGGTTTCCTCTGAATGAACCCTTTGATGGATAATTAGAGTAGGGCAAGATTGTATACAGCACAGATTTTGAACACTTGCATTTTTTGTCAGTTGCTGGTCCTCTGTGGGAAACCGCCGAAAAGGGAGGCAAGAACTCTCCATAGGAGCCAACTGTGACAGGATTGGGACGATTGAGCATGAATTCCTTCATGCACTGGGATTCTGGCATGAACAGTCACGATCTGATCGAGATGATTATGTCACAATAATGCGAGACAGAATTCAGGAGGGTAAGCTAATTTACCTTCCTTTTAATTTAAAACCATTGATAGATTTCATCTGTACAGCTTCTCATTCATCTTTTTGACTTGGATGGCAATGTTTAAAATGTGATGCATTCTTACCTTACATCTGACCCCTCTCCTTTTACCAAGAAGCTTGACTTATTTGAAATTCTGTATATGCCTGCTGCATCGAGTCTCTCTCATTTCTTTTTGCTTGCAAAGCATTGTAAATTGGGATCTACTATAATAAATAAATACTCTGTGGTTCTGTATGATATACCTGGAATTCAAAGAAGAAGCAACGGGACAGCAGGCTAAGCACATAAATTATAAATTCGTAACATTGCAGTGGAAGAGATATTAAAGAGTGTGCTTATCTGTAACCTAAACCAGTAGGACTGAAAAGGGCTTACCTTTGGCTGGATTGTGATCTGTATAAGTCACCTTGGTAAGTTCTTCTGCTTCTTTCAGGTAAGGAAGGAAACTTCAACAAATATGATGATAAAAGATCTGACTTCCTTAATGTCCCATATGACTATAACTCTGTAATGCACTACAGTAAAAATGCCTTCAGGAATGGAACAGAACCAACAATAGTAACAAATATACCAGCCTTCATTGATGTGATTGGACAGCGCATGGATTTCAGTGAATATGATATCCGGAAGCTGAGTCGACTCTACAACTGCAGTAAGTGTTTGAAACCCCATCATATCTTTTCAGCCTCCTTTGGCCATCTGTCATGGATGCTTTAGCTGAGATTCCTGCATTGCAGCGGGTTGGACTAGATGACCCTCGGGGTCCCTTCCAACTCTACAATTCTATGATTTGTTTGCTTAGGTTTCATTTCTGAACTTTACTTTGGGACGAATTCAGTGTTGCCCTCTTCTGATTGTTCCATCTGGCAGCCAGAATTGCTGGTGGAGCAATCTCTCCTCTCCTCTGCACATGTGTTGCAGATGACATGTGCTTTCCCAACCCTCCCCTGAGCCAATTTTGGGGGCACACAAGGGGAGGAGAGGGGCAAGAGTCCTCTGGTGCTAGCAGATGTGCTTGCACAGGCTTCCACTAGCAGTGCCTGTTAGTTAAATCTGGTCCTTTGCCTGTGAATATTGTAGCTTTATAGTTGCAAATAAATTCCCCCCCCCCCAGCATCTGAGACAGGGGTGAGGAACCTCCAGCCCAAGGACCTAATTAGGCCCAGCACATGGTCCCCATCGGGTTTCCAGTGCCATTTCCTTGCAAAGCACACCCACCTGTCCCACACCTGACATAATTTGTGATGTCAGGTTTGAGGAGGTGGAGAACTAGCTGCCAGAAAACAAATGGGTGCCTTAGCTGATTCCAGGTGGCTTCCTGTAAGGGCTGTAGATTGGCGGTTATGGCAAGGTGGCTGGGATTGACTGTACTCTTAGTCAGGAACTCTCTAGTGCAAGCAATGCCTACCCCTAGCAGACTGCCTGTATATGCCACTCGGCTGATTGGTGCTTACAGCAAGCTGGCTGGGATCTGCACTTAACAGCAGACCCCAGAGTGGGATGTGCTGTAAGCATAAGATCCCTGTGCTTTGGTGGTTTGAATTGAAACCAGTGCTGCAAAGGATCACACCCACAAAGGATTGTTTGTTTGCGGTTGTCCGATGCGACTGAGGCTGATATAAGGTCGTCATGCTTCTGGATTTCCCTGGACACTGTCAGCAGCTGTGTCCAGGTGGTGCTCATGTTGGCAGTGCCATTTTTGCATTTATTAAAGTGATTTTGCCCCAAAAGCTCAACAACTTTGGGCAAAACTAAAAAAAAAAGGTCAACAACTTTTCACTGTTTGAAATATGGCAACCGTAGCTGATAGGAATTCTACTGCAACAATAACTGAAAGGTGCTGCACTGACTACACCTGACCCAGATGGACCAATGGTTTGATTCTGCATGAAGCAGCTTCTTCCTCAGGTAGGGTGCTAAACAAAGGAAGAAAAAAAATTAAGGCTGAAAAGCAGTATTAGTGGCCTGGTGGTCATTATATGGTCAGTTGATTTTACTTACATCCAATTCAGTTAGGAATGTGGTCCACTAAAACACATGCCATAATGCCATAATACAGGTGTAAGTCTTTAAGGTGCCACCCGACTCATATATATATATATATATATATATATATATATATATATATACACACACACACACACACACACACACACACACACACACAATTGCTGAGCGTGCAAAATCTGCCCTTTAAAGGTCCTTTTGATTTTCCTAGTAGTGAAAGGATACTGCTCATTCTATAAAACAAGCCAGCTTATTTATTTTCTTTTAAAATGAAACTCATTTACTTCTACTTGAAGTGGTTTATAGATTCAGCTAATAGCACTGATTGATCATAGAGTGACTGAGGCTGTGTTCACACTTTCAGTTACGGTGCATTCATTTCATGTGTGGTACTGGGTTTTTAATCCGTTTTCACATGACAACATGCAAAATGCGTATATATCATGTTCTTTGTTATAAAATACTACTGTTTGATGTGTTATTTCCCAAACCAGCAATCAGAGTCCTCAAGCCATTCCTAATTTATCTCTAGCCAAGGTGTGAAAACCTTTGCATACTATAAAGACATCCCTGCCTGTCAACACCCCCCCAACAGATGTGAATCAGATACTAAAGAAGCCATGCTGTTGTGAACAGCTGGGGGGGACACTAAAATGCACAGAAAAACAGAAACTTCTCTGTGATGTGAACCCACCTTGAGTTAGAACAGACTTTGGTTCTTTTGACATTGTGGTTTTTCTAACTAATTGAGATATGAGAAGATCTGTAATTGGATTTCCAACTTAAAAAAAAACAAGTTTAACAGCAGTTGCCGGGTGAAGGTTGAGAATTATATGGAACAATGGTCCTAGGGGAGATTAACCTTTCTCTCATGCCATTCATGCCAAAACTGTTTGTCTACTAGAGGTAAAACAATACCAGACAGACAGGTTTCCTCCCGCAAGGCAGCTAGCAGCTGGTGGGGATATAGATTAGGAAAAAAGTGAGATGGAAAAGGGTTTAGCCATCTCACCTGCAGGCTCCTTGACTCTTAGACTGTTTACTTCGCCACTGTTTACAGCAGCTTTTGTATTTTAAAATGAGTCACAGATCTCCTGATGGCATATCTAGGTACCCCTGCCCGTACGGGCCAGTCTTGCCAGACTCTAGGGTTGTGCGCTCATCTCACTCCATAGGCCAGGAGCCAGCGCTGTCTGCAGACACTTCCGGGTCACGTGGCCAGCGTGACAAGCTGCATCTGGCAAGCCAGTGCAGCACACGGAACGCCGTTTACCTTCCCGCTGGTAAGCGGTCCCTATTTATCTACTTGCACTTTGACGTGCTTTCCAACTGCTAGGTTGGCAGGCGCTGGGACCGAACGACGGGAGCGCACCCCGCCGCGGGGATTCGAACCGCCGACCATGCGATCAGCAAGTCCTAGGTGCTGAGGTTTTACCCACAGCGCCACCTGCATCCCTGATGGCATATCTAGATGGGTCCAAACTATTTCCTGATGCAGTTGACTGAATAGTCCCACTAAAGAAAACAAACACTGTATCTGCTCTGTTTTTTTAATGCTGGTAGCTTCGTCTTTAAGCTTTATGGAGACGTGCAGTTTTGAATTTGAAAACGTGTGTGGCATGATTCAAAGTACAGAAGATAATGCTGACTGGCAGCGCATAACCCAGGTTCCTAGTGGACCACAAACGGATCACACCTATGTTGGAATCTGCCAAGGTAATGTACAGCAATTCTTCTTATCTCTTAGATAAGTATTTTCTGTGGATGTATCTGATCTTCATAACCTCACTAACTTGCTGATAAATTGCTATTGCGTTGTTAACCAAGCCTGTTAGATAATTAGAATGTTTACCGTATTATTTCAAGTCGTATCTCTATACATGTCTGCAACCTACTTTTCCATGTTAAGGGAATTAAGCTGTTTTCAGAACTTGCATGACATAATTTGGTTCAAATGTGCTGGGGGAGCCATTTCCCACTGTGACCTTGGTTCTTGTGGGAAGACAGGATGTTGCCCCTTCCATAGAGCTGTTCCATAAACTAGAATGTTTACCAAAATATGCTGGAGAACAACATGCATAAATGTGGGTCGAAGCCTGGATAGTGAAGTGCCCTCATAAGATACACAGGGGAGCAACAGAGGCAAGACTAGAGTTTTTCAAGAATTGGGGATTTATTTTTAAAAGTATTTGAAAATGGTAATTTAATTCTGAAAGTTGTTCTGGAGGAGAGGTGTGTGTGAAGCTATGGCAGGCCAAGGAAGTTGCACAGTGATGTTTCATTTTGCATGGGAGGAGAATGGAAAAGTAGAAGTTGGAAAATTGATAAGAAGGCAGCAAGGTGAAGAGGGGGTTATTCCTTTCCTTCCTGTCCTAACTGCAGGAAGGAGAAGTGGGGAATGCTTAGCATAAATCCAGAAAGAAGACTGAAAAAGACTTGCCTCTCTCCAGCAAGGCTTTGCTAGGCAGAGTCTGATGGAACTGGGAGTGCAGAAAAAGAGCACACAAAGCAGGAATTTGTGCTTCTGCACTTACCGCACAAGAATCAGCTACAGTTCAAAGGTGCAAGAACAGACACCCAAGTAGAAACTCTAAGACTTAGCCAGTATGTCTGCCAGCAAAACAAACACACCTGTACAGGGCTCAGGAGACTCACTAAGTTCTGGGTTTCTAAGGTAACAAAGGAAGTGGATCTGTGCGAGATGGCAAATGGGTGGGGCCTATCCCCCAAATCACAGCTGGTTAGAAAGACAAAACTAAAGTTGAGATAGAGTTATGTGAGCTAGAAGCAAACCAGCAAGCTGAGAAGACAGAGAGAGACAGCAATGTTTGATTGCTGTTTGAATCCAAGGCTGCAGCTATGGGGGAAGCAAGGCCCTCTTGTGGTGTTAATCCTGTGAACCCCTCCATTGTAGGCTCAGGTTGCATATATGTGTAAATAAGCCATATATCATAAAGACACCAGAGTCTCCATTGTGCCACATTCTGAAGGAAACACAAACCCTGAGTAAGCGCCAGGAACCCTGGAATCTCGCACTGCTCAGAGATTTGGGTGATGTGCACCCGTGCTTTCTCTAAAGCGCACTCAAAATTTCAGGGTTCACTGTAGCCAATCACTAGATGGTAAAATGTTGCTTTGACTGAGGGACATTAAGCATCCACAGTTCCAGGGGGTTCCATGCCAGTGTATGGAGGGTGAAGAAGTTCTAAAAGTTTCCCTCCTCTCTCTCTTTCTCCTTGACAGAGACTGGCTACTTGATGCATTTTAACACCAGTGCTGGAAGTGTGTCAGATCGAGCGGTTTTAGAGAGCCGATTTCTATATCCCAAGAGAGGTTTCCAGTGCCTACAATTCTATTATTACAACAGCGGAAGTGAAAGTGATCAGCTGAATGTTTTAGTCAAGGAATACACTGATGCAAGCCCCAATGGTACCCAAAGGCTTGTGAAAACGATACAAGGTATGAAAGCATTATTTTTAGTATGTATATGCTCTTGTTCTAGTTAACACTGGGGCAGTAAATCTGTGCCTGCTCTGTATCACTTTAGACTGCAGGTGGGGGCTCAAATTATTGCATGCTCCTCCGTTAAAAAATAACAAAAAGTTCCTCTGTATAGAAGGCTAGCGTGTCAGAGAGAAGACTAAGCCACATTCCTCATCCCATAACATCAAGTTTTTGATGTGGAGTTTTTTTTTTTAAAATGAAGGTAAATTAAAAAATGTAGAGTTTGAAGCTGTATAGTCCAGACACCAGTTTACTATGCTGGTGAGGACTAGGCTAGAGTTTAATATTTCACATTTGACAAGAAAAGTTCTGAGACCACAAGTATTTTATTATTTGGTCTGGGTTCTCCATAGTGTTTTTAATGGATTTCTCTTGCCCCAACCCCACAAAAAGGAGTGGGGTAGTGATGGACTTTTAAATTGTATTTTGAGCCTACACTGTTAAATATATTACATTTAACAACCAGTAGATTGAGATCTGTGAAGTAATGTTTCCTGTGGTCCACCACAGTCAGGAGGCAGGCTACTGTAGTCTGCGTCAGGGGAAGCACGGAAAAGTCTTTAAGGATAAGTCCTGCATAAAACTCAAGTACACAAATATGAATGACTAAATAAACTGTTCAACACTTAACCCCTTTTAAATTTCATGGGGAATATGAAAATCTGTTTGTGTAACATTGAAATATATTGTCAATATAATGTACCTCATTATTCTTTTCCAGGTTCACCTGCAGGCTACTGGGAGTTACACCATGTGTCTTTAAATGTTGCAAGTAAATTCCGAGTAGTATTTGAAGGCATAAAAGGACCCGATGGATCTAATGGAGGCCTTTCCATTGATGATATCAACCTGTCAGAAACTCAGTGCCCTCACCATGTTTGGCATATAAGAAATTTCACTCAGGTGGTTTCAAGTGCTACAACACAATATAGTCCACCCTTTTACTCTCCCAAAGGGTATGCATTTCAGATTGGTTTGCTCCCCACCAGTTCATTTAATTTACACATACATTTGCACTTGATCTCTGGTGCAAATGATGACCGGTTGCAGTGGCCTTGTGCATGGCAACAAGCTACAGTGCTTCTGCTTGATCAACATCCAGACATCCGCCAACGTATGTCAAATCAAAGGAGTATAACTACAGACCCAAGCCAACTAGGTAGGTTAATACTTGGATCAGTTTACCCTAATGGTTTTTTATATATATATATATATATATATGCAGGTTTTGGTGTCCTCGGGTGTCTTCCCGTGTAAAAGTTGGGGTGTCTAGGCGACGTTTCGACGAGGTCTCACTCGTCATCTTCAGGCTGGTGCTTTCGGCTTCTTGTTACTGGAACAGAGCAGGATCTCAGTGTTTGAGTTCCTATAAATACTGTTGAGGGGGTGTGGTGTATAGCCTCCAATGTTCTGGGCAGAGAGGAAGTTCCCAGGCTAGTGTGCCTTTTCTTCTTTTGTTCCTTAATTACTTGAGGGATATCTTGAGTGATTTCTTGAGTGATATTCTGAGTACCACTTAGGTGGGTCATTAGGTGTGGATTAGTTGCTAAAGCCTTCGTGTCTTGACCTCTTGAACTTTGTGAAGAGTTTTTCTGAGAAGATGGCTGTACTGCACTTAGTTGTGCTCTGGCTTGGCTTCGTGTATAGGGGCGAGCTGTGGTTTTGTGCCCTGTGTCAGCCAGATCTGTGTAGGGATTGCAGGGGGGTGCAGCATCCGGAGGTGCCACCATGGTTTGGCTACTGGATGGTGTCTGTAATTTATCTGTGGAGAGGGTCTGGGTTTGGGTCTGGTGTGGTTGATTGGTGATGGCGTTCTGTGTGCCTCTGGATCTGGTGTCGGTTTTTGTGGGGAGGGCTAATTTCCAGATGTCTGGCAGGCGGGACGTGTCGTCACGCTTGTTCATGTTGTGAGGGTGTTTCTCTATCTCGATGGCTTCCATGATTATTCTCTTGTGGTGATGTTCCATGTTAAAGAGCAATTTGGAATCTGCAAAATTAATTTCGTGTCCTGTTTCTTTCATGTGTTGGAAAAGAGAGGAAGTTTTTTCTTCTTTTTTGACGGCATTCTTGTGTTCTGCGATACGTGCGTTTATTCGTCTGTTTGTTTGTCCAATGTACGTGGCTGGGCAGACTTTGCAGGGTATTTCATAGACCCCTTGGTTTTCCAACTGGATTTTATCTTTGGGGTTTCTGAGGATATTGGCTATTTTTTGGTTGGTGCAAAAGGCTGTTTTGATATTGTGTTTATGGAGGATTTTGCTAATTTTATCTGTAGTGCCCTTGATATAAGGAAGGAGGGCCATGCCATTGTTTTCTTCTGTGTCTTGGTTTTTGGGGGGTGTTTCTTTTTGGATTAGTTTCGTAACCCTGTTTTGCTGGTATCCATTGGCGATTAACACATTTGAGAGATTCTGTAACTCAGTTGTCAAGTGGTCTTTGTCAGCCAGGCGTTTGGTTCTGGAGATGAGAGTCTTGGCTACGGAGTTTATTTGTGCAGGGTGGTGGTGTGATTGTGCATGTAAGTAGCGGTTGGTGTGTGTTTTTTTCCGGTAGATAGTGTGTCCTAGGGAGCCATCAGGTTTTTTGTAGATTAGGACGTCAAGGAAGGGAAGTTGGTTGTTGGCTTCTATTTCCATAGTGAATTGTATTTTGGGGTGTAGGCTGTTGAGATGTGTGAGGAAGCTATCTAGTTTTTCCTTCCCGTGTGGCCAAATTACAAAGGTGTCGTCAACATATCTGAGCCAAAGTTTGGGTTTGTGTTCTGACTTGTCTAAAGCATTGGTTTCAAAGTGTTCCATGTACAGATTTGCGATGACCGGTGAGAGGGGTGATCCCATAGGTGCTCCTTCTATCTGTTTGTATCTTTGTCCATTGTGGATGAAGTACGTGTTGGTTAGGCAGTGGTTGGTCAGGTCCAGGATGTATTCGGGGGGATTGTATTTGTTTTGAATGGCTGTCAAGGCTTCATTAATGGGCACTTGTGTGAAGAGAGATACAACATCGAAGCTCACAAGTAGGTCATCGGGATGTAGGTTTTGCTTCTTTATTGTTTCTATGAACTGGAAGGAGTTTGTAACGTGTGAAGAGATGGATTCTGCATAGGGCTGAAGTTGCTTAGCGAGAAATTTAGCGAGATTTTGTAGAGGTGAGCCTATGGAGCTGACTATTGGTCTGAGTGGTGTTCCTTCTTTGTGTATCTTGGGGAGGCCGTAGAGTTTGATCTCTTGTTCCTACGCAACTGCCGAGACAACAACTTAATTCCCACATGCTTCCAACTTAAATTCCACTCTAAAACCCCAGCTACCGAAAGGATCCTGAAACGAACTGAACTATCCCTAATCAGAAACGAACTACATAAGAAAAGATACCTACTAAACCAAACCAACAAAGATCTGCTCACTCTTCACCTCAAACTCTGTAACAAAATCCACCCTGCACTCTGGGACAAATGCAAACAACTAGCCGTCTGGAGAGCTGAAACTGAGACCTCACATAAGACAGACACACACACCAACAAACTCCACAAACTAGAGAAACGCCAGAAGCCCAGCCACCCTCCACAACAACCCATGAAACAAACAGTACATAACATATCAGACAGGATCCTCACCCCAACCGAAACCAAAGTATTCTCCAAAGGTTTCAACTTTGCAGTCGCCCCGAGACGCATCCCCACGGAAAACATCATATGCGGAGTCGAAGCTAGCCTAACCAAAATCAACCCAGAGGAAGCCAATAAAATCAGACTTGAAGTCACCAACATCCTCTGCTCCAGCAAACCACCCAGAAGCAATTTACACAAAGAAGAACAGAAAGCACTCACCAACCTGAGGAAAGACAACAACATAATCATTCTCCCAGCAGACAAAGGTAATGCCACTGTTGTGATGAACACATCGGACTACCAAGCAAAACTATCAAATCTACTCCAAGACCCTACCTACCAACCTATAAAAACAGATCCCACCACCTATCTGGAAAAAACCACCAAATCCAAAATAAAAGCCTCTCCTATCAGTGAAGAAATCCAGCTAAGAATCATCCCCAGAGAAAAATCATCCAGATGCCCCAAACTCTACGGCCTCCCCAAGATACACAAAGAAGGAACACCACTCAGACCAATAGTCAGCTCCATAGGCTCACCTCTACAAAATCTCGCTAAATTTCTCGCTAAGCAACTTCAGCCCTATGCAGAATCCATCTCTTCACACGTTACAAACTCCTTCCAGTTCATAGAAACAATAAAGAAGCAAAACCTACATCCCGATGACCTACTTGTGAGCTTCGATGTTGTATCTCTCTTCACACAAGTGCCCATTAATGAAGCCTTGACAGCCATTCAAAACAAATACAATCCCCCCGAATACATCCTGGACCTGACCAACCACTGCCTAACCAACACGTACTTCATCCACAATGGACAAAGATACAAACAGATAGAAGGAGCACCTATGGGATCACCCCTCTCACCGGTCATCGCAAATCTGTACATGGAACACTTTGAAACCAATGCTTTAGACAAGTCAGAACACAAACCCAAACTTTGGCTCAGATATGTTGACGACACCTTTGTAATTTGGCCACACGGGAAGGAAAAACTAGATAGCTTCCTCACACATCTCAACAGCCTACACCCCAAAATACAATTCACTATGGAAATAGAAGCCAACAACCAACTTCCCTTCCTTGACGTCCTAATCTACAAAAAACCTGATGGCTCCCTAGGACACACTATCTACCGGAAAAAAACACACACCAACCGCTACTTACATGCACAATCACACCACCACCCTGCACAAATAAACTCCGTAGCCAAGACTCTCATCTCCAGAACCAAACGCCTGGCTGACAAAGACCACTTGACAACTGAGTTACAGAATCTCTCAAATGTGTTAATCGCCAATGGATACCAGCAAAACAGGGTTACGAAACTAATCCAAAAAGAAACACCCCCCAAAAACCAAGACACAGAAGAAAACAATGGCATGGCCCTCCTTCCTTATATCAAGGGCACTACAGATAAAATTAGCAAAATCCTCCATAAACACAATATCAAAACAGCCTTTTGCACCAACCAAAAAATAGCCAATATCCTCAGAAACCCCAAAGATAAAATCCAGTTGGAAAACCAAGGGGTCTATGAAATACCCTGCAAAGTCTGCCCAGCCACGTACATTGGACAAACAAACAGACGAATAAACGCACGTATCGCAGAACACAAGAATGCCGTCAAAAAAGAAGAAAAAACTTCCTCTCTTTTCCAACACATGAAAGAAACAGGACACGAAATTAATTTTGCAGATTCCAAATTGCTCTTTAACATGGAACATCACCACAAGAGAATAATCATGGAAGCCATCGAGATAGAGAAACACCCTCACAACATGAACAAGCGTGACGACACGTCCCGCCTGCCAGACATCTGGAAATTAGCCCTCCCCACAAAAACCGACACCAGATCCAGAGGCACACAGAACGCCATCACCAATCAACCACACCAGACCCAAACCCAGACCCTCTCCACAGATAAATTACAGACACCATCCAGTAGCCAAACCATGGTGGCACCTCCGGATGCTGCACCCCCCTGCAATCCCTACACAGATCTGGCTGACACAGGGCACAAAACCACAGCTCGCCCCTATACACGAAGCCAAGCCAGAGCACAACTAAGTGCAGTACAGCCATCTTCTCAGAAAAACTCTTCACAAAGTTCAAGAGGTCAAGACACGAAGGCTTTAGCAACTAATCCACACCTAATGACCCACCTAAGTGGTACTCAGAATATCACTCAAGAAATCACTCAAGATATCCCTCAAGTAATTAAGGAACAAAAGAAGAAAAGGCACACTAGCCTGGGAACTTCCTCTCTGCCCAGAACATTGGAGGCTATACACCACACCCCCTCAACAGTATTTATAGGAACTCAAACACTGAGATCCTGCTCTGTTCCAGTAACAAGAAGCCGAAAGCACCAGCCTGAAGATGACGAGTGAGACCTCGTCGAAACGTCGCCTAGACACCCCAACTTTTACACGGGAAGACACCCGAGGACACCAAAACCTGCATTCCTGTACCCGTGAAAATCTACGAAAGCATATATATATATATATATATATATATATATATATATATATATATGCTTCAATAATGCCTTAAAATTTCTCTTTCTTTCACGAACAGTAGTGTATTAAAATTCCTAAGGTGCATGAGAAACTGCCCCCAGACCAGATAACGCAAAACAAAATAATCTATATTAAAAAAAAGTTGAGCTGATTACCTCCTTGTGTAGACACTGTGAAATACTTTTTCGTGTATAAGACTAGGTGTTTGGTTTTTTTTACTAAAAAATAATGTTAAAAAGGGGGGGTAGTCTTATACACGGGGGCAATCTCTTCCCCTCCCATTTTCTTAATTTTGAGTCCCCCAAAATAGGGGGCATGTTATACATGGAAAAATATGGTATATAGTGGCTGTCATCATTCTCCACTCTTTATTTTTTAATATATATGTGTTCCATAATCCTCTGGTAAACTTTTTGCTCTCCTGTCCATTTTTCTTCCCTCATGGAATTCACATTCCTCTTTCAGCTCCATTCCTTGAAAAGTAGTAAAAATCCTTTATTTCCCCTGAGGTAGCAAAGGCATGTGTGTTGACTCCTCAGTATAAGTGCACTCATGGGAGTTTTAGTCTACATGTGGAGGCCACCTCTGGCATAAATCAAGTATATTTGTCAGATGCCAGTAATAATAACCTCACTGGTCTAGACTCTAGACCTTAATGGTGATGGGTGGGGACAAGGTAAGGCAGGATTACATAAAGCCAGCATTTCCCTACTCTGGACTACATTTCCTTTCACATATACTTATCTGCAGCAGGGTGCAGTTATTGTAGGACTGAAGAGTCTCTGGAAGTTGATAGCAAAACATTTTGTTTTTAAAACACAAAACGTGAGATATCCAGGTTTTTTCCATTTTGTTCAAAGCTGGCCAATGGTTCCTTTGGGCCTCAGTATCTGGAGGGCCTCCACTTGCTCCTTAAAGGTAAAGGACCCCTGACAGTTAAGTCCAGTTGCGAACTCTCATCTCGCTTTACTGGCCGAGGGAGCCAACGTTTGTCCGCAGACAGTTTTTACAGGTCATTGGCCAGCATGACTAAGTCGCTTCTGGCGAAACCAGAACAGCGCACGGAAACGCTCTTTACCTTCCCCTCCAGAGCGGTACTTATTTATCTACTTGCACTTTGATGTGCTTTTGAGCTGCTAGGTTGCTTCTTAGGATGAGATAAAAATGGCAGTAAGAGATCAACAGTGGGCAATAAGGACGCTTACAGTCTATTGTTTGAATTGCTCCTCTGAGAACCAAGACAAAGCCAATTGGGTAATGATGGCAGTAGAGGGAACCTCTGGAACAGGAAGATGAATAATGGAGATGCCAAACCTTCCCTCTCCAAATGTTTTGTGGTCTTCAAGCAGTAGACCTAGTGGGTTGGAACTGAAATGTTTTTAGAGGTTGGTAACTTTTTTGTGCAGCTGTGGATTCAGTGGAAATCCTCACAGCCAGTGCCCATCCAGAAGGTTATCTTTGGACTTTTTAGTATTGCCCAGGCTACATAGTTTTCCTGCCCCAGTTGGAAGTGACAGCCCAGCTTAGATAGTCATTGTGTCTTGATGTTCACAGCCTACAAGAGTTAATTGAGTCACATTGTCTTCCTGCTTACACAAGAATCTTGAGTCATTCTTTTTCTTTTCTTATTTTGCTGGAAAAAAGGTATATAGTTAGTATCATTTCATATTTTGCTGAACCCCTTTTCTACCAAAAATATTAGCTTTACTAATTTTTTCTTCTTTCACAGTATATGATAGACCAGACAATGTAGGAATGGTCGCTACTTTTCCTAATGGCACTGAATTCATGAGAGGTCCTGCAACTGAATTCAGTTCCTTTATAACACAACAAAGGCTTGAAAGTCGTGAGTTTGTTAAAGAGGATAGTATTTTCATTCTTACAACAGTGGAAGGTATGTGGGTTTTGCTATGAGTGATATTGTTAGTATCAAAGATTCAGCAGAAGTAATCCCATGATAGTCAATGGGAGTCTCCCTGAAACAAATAGTTCTGCATATTTTCTTCTCTCACACTTAAGAGTTGAGACTAGAAGGTGGGCCCTGATTGCTTATGAATCTGCTGATGGCTACTGGTTGAAATGTTTTGCAAAATGTATGCTGAGCTGCTTAGACAGGCAGTCATTTGAATATGCAGAGTTCCAACATCTGGAGGCGTTAATTTTTACGAAAGGCAAATGGATCAACCTTTATGGCAGCTGCCACATATTGGAACTTGCAACTTTTGTAATATTTCTCTAGTTTAACTGATCTAGCTGCTCAGATGCCTTTTGTCAATGAACCTGGGCAAGGCTGGGACTTAAACATTCAGTGTCTCCCCTCTCCTTCCCCTGAGCAGTTGTGAGAAGTTTAGAAGCTTTTACTTTTCAATTAAACACAGTGTTACTTCCAAACCCCAAACTGTAGTTAACATTTACTACATCACTCATAGTTAATTTCAAATTGTTTTATAATGGGAAAAGGTTTGTTCCTTTGCCATTAAGTTTATAAACAAAAGATCTCTAAACTTCTGAGCCCCAAGCATACTTTGATAAAATTAATAGCACCAAATACTTTAAGATGTATTGGTTAAGCTGCAATAATTTATGTTTTGCCTCATTTATTCACCTCAGATATATCACATTTAATATCAACTCAGCCAAATTCTACAGCCGTCACTCCAACTACAGCCACTAGTGTGTGTGAGGCCTATGGTTGTCAAAATGGTGGAATCTGCATTCTTGAAGAGGGGAAGCCAGTTTGCAGGTAAGCAATGTCTTCTTAAGTGTTCATTATTGTGGAATTCCTTCTAGGGAGGCATCGTGTTTAGCAATCTTTTATTTTTAAAATCCAGTGTGAAGTGGGGGTGAGAGAACCCGAGATCTTCATCTTGCGGTACTCCCACAGAGATTATTTAGAACTGAACTTCAGTTGTGCACATTCTACATTTGTCACTAATAATCTGCTATGTTCCTTTAGCTGTTTTTAACAACAAGTAACGGTATTCAAGGGACGCAGATGGCACTGTGGGTTAAACCACAGAGCCTAGGACTTGCCGATCAGAAGGTTGGCGGTTCGAATCCCCGCGACGGGGTGAGCTCCCGTTGTTCGGTCCCTGCTCCTGCCAACCTAGCAGTTCGAAAGCACGTCAAAGTGCAAGTAGATAAATAGGTACTGCTCTGGCGGGAAGGTAAACGGCGTTTCCGTGTGCTGCTCTGGTTCGCCAGAAGCGGTTTAATCATGCTGGCCACATGACCCGGAAGCTGTCTGCGGACAAATGCCGGCTCCCTTGGCCAATAAAGCGAGATGAGCACCACAACCCCAGAGTCGGTCACAACTGGACCTAATGTTCAGGGGTCCCTTTACCTTTACTAATGGTATTCAGTCCAGGTTTGTGTCTGTGGGTTTGTTGCATGGAGGTTAACTTTTTTTAGGCCTCCATGCTCATCTGTTTTTGCCAGCTTCTCCCTCCATCCAGTATGGGCTTCGAAGGAATGCCTATGTATTTTTTCCCTACAGTTCCCAGAAATTAGACAGGCTTTAAGCATGCTTAACTGGGTTATACACCAACAGGCAGTGCATGCCAACATAAGGAGATGCCAGGTAGGATAGGAGATCCCAACATAGCTATCTACCTTCCCTTTTTTTTGCGGGAAATTCCCTTATTCCAGCGCCATTTCCCGCTGCTATCCCGGATTGTTAGATATTCCGTAGACTGTCCCCGGGACAGGTGAGGCTGCTGATCCCTTATTTTCGAATCTGAAAGTTGACTCCTATGGATCCTAACCTCACGTACATACACTAATATATGAGTGCTAATTCACCAGGAGGACGTGGGTGGTGCTGTGGGTAAAACCTCAGCGCCTAGGACTTGCCGATCAGAAGGTCAGCGGTTCGAATCCCCGCGGCAGGGTGCTCTCCCGTAGTTCAGTCCCAGCGCCTGCCAACCTAGCAGTTCGAAAGCACTCCCGGGTGCAAGTAGATAAATAGGGACCGCTTACCAGTGGGAAGGTAAACGGCGTTCCGTGTGCTGCGCTGGCTCGCCAGATGCAGCTTGTCACGCTGGCCACGTGACCCGGAAGTGTCTGCGGACAGCACTGGCTCCCGGCCTATAGAGTGAGATGAGCGCACAACCCTAGAGTCTGGCAAGACTGGCCCGTACGGGCAGGGGTACCTTTACCTTTACCTAATTCACCAGGAAAGATGTGCTGGGCTCATGGTGGAGAGCACATTCTGTGGTCCGTATTATTTAAAGCTGGACTGAACATTCCAGCAGCCAATACAGTCATACCTCATGTTACGTTTGCTTCATGTTACGTTTTTTCAGGTTGCGTCCCACAGCGACCCAGAAGTACCGGAAAGGGTTACTTCTGGGTTTCGCCACTCGTGCATGCACAGGAGCGCTAAATCGCGCTTCGCACATGTGCACAAACACCAAATTGCGCTGCGCACCTGTGCAGTTACGGCGCTTCAGGTTGTGGGCTTTTCATGTTGTGAACGGGCCTCCAGAACGGATCCCGTTCGCAACCAGAGGTACCACTGTATAAAAATGCCTTTCTGTAGTTCCATGATACTGTGTGCAGTTTTGTAACTTCAGCTATGGGGACCCACAGGTTCTTCACTTCTGGGTGAAAAATATTGTGGTCCATTTAGCTTAGAATGCGGGGTTTCTGACCTGTGAGCTTCATTTGGGGGTGGGGGTGGGGTATGTTGAATTGTGTTTGTAATTTGTTTTAACCACTGCCATGCTTTGCAGATGCCCTGTAGGTGCAGATTGGTGGTATGTGGGAGAAAAATGCGAGCAGAAGGGATCCACACAGGACACAGTTGTGATAGCAGTTGCCTCGTCTCTGTCTATATTTGCCGTTATGTTGATCATCACCATTGTAACGACCAGCTGTATTAAAAAGAAATATAGGAAAAAAATGGAAAGCCTGGGTTTACAAAATGTAAGTATTGCACTTCCGGTGGTGTGAACTTTTAGGTGGCTTTGCAATACTGAACTGTTTTCTTGCTAGGTAAGATTGTGAGGTGCAATACTTAGTCTGCCCTCAAATTAGTGACAAATAAGGGGAACTTGTGATGAAAGGTTGTGTGGCCTTTGCCAACACACACAGAGGCTAACACAACTCTGGATGCACTATCTACCGAGCCCCAGTAACTTCTGTTAGCTTATGCTGCATCGTGTGGCATTTATTTGGGCAGCTACATTTTTGACACAGCAATCCAAGTGAGGGAGGGTGAAACCGAGGCAGAAGAACAACCAGATTCCCAGGGTCATTGCACAGGGTAGAAGGTGGGAGGGAAATGTAGATTTACTCCCCATCTTCTCCTTTCTTTGGACTTCATTCCTATACAAACCGATGTGTAAGTTCCACTGAACTTCATTGACACCCCCCCTTTTTTGGTAAAAGGGCTTTTCTCTCCATTGATGCAATAGAAATGAAATTTTGTTCCCCAACTGGAGTATTGGCTTTCTCTACTCCCCCCGCCGCCTTCCAGTGGCATGTCATGGGAACGCGAAGGGTTTGGGATCCAAACTTGCCTCAGTGTGCACCTAAACACTTCCTGCCCTCTTTCTGCCATTGGAAATTTCCGCAACTGCATTGAAGAGGCCTCTGTAGGCAGACCTCCTGGTTGGCATGTGAAGACAGAGTCCCAGAATCTTGTGTGCCCTGGGCTACCCTCCCAAGGACTGCACCTTGAAAATGTGATTAAACTGTATAAGAACTAAACAAGTTTCAAAGACTGAGGCTCTCTCAAACTATCTTACCAGTCCTTGAATATATTTTATCAAAGCAGCATCAAATAATTTTAGAAGTAGCAGTCCATAATATGTTTTACTGCACCCCTCGCCTCCCCAAAAAGAGATTCAAAATGGCAGTTGCATCTCCTTACTTCTCATCTGCGGCAATCAGCTATCTTGCCATAGAAATGTCTGTTTCTATACCCGTTTTGAAACAAAAGTATACAACAGTATACTTCAGCAGTATGTTAGCCTGCTGAAAACATCATCTTTTGTATTTCTCATTCTGGGTTTGCAACTCCTCTTGGATGAAACGATTTTAGGGGAAACAGCCATTCTTTTGCATTAAAAACAAGACAAAAGCTATATGCCACTTCTAGGATTTAATTGAAATAAATTACTCTTCCATTGAAATTTAAAAAGAAGCTGTGGCTTTTTCCGGCCTAAAATTCTGCACAGGAGCTCCAATTTGAGACCCCCATTTCCCTTCTAAGAGTATGGAAAAGCAAGATAAACTTAGGCTGGCAAATATTAACCTGAGCTTGATTCATGCTATGTGTTCAATGTACTATGCTCTATGCAGGATGGCCATATTTATTTTGCAATTACTATAATTGTACTCTATCCAAGTTATTTAGAAGATGCCTTTTGCTCTCTTGACAGAAAACACCTCTCTGAAGATAGTGAAAGTTTGGAAACCAAAATGGATGGCCTCACTTGAACACCTTATTCATAACTTCATGTCCAGCACAGTTTCTCCTTTGCCAACCAACATTTTACTTACAGGAAAAAAGGGAAAGGAAATTATTTGTGTGTGAGTTTAAATCAATGCAAAAAAAGCGGCTAAACGTGATATTTTAAATTTTGAGATGGTGCAAGTTTAAGGATTTCTCTAGCATGGAACATTTCCTGGATAAGCAAAGTGGTCAGATTTCTTTATTTCCACCACATAATTTATGAAACAAAACTGGGAGGTTTCCCTTCTGTATAAACAATATGGACCCAGAGTGAAGACATGTGTCCTACTTTTTTTCCAGAGGGGTGTCTTTTGCAGGTGGTTCCCCTCCAGAATCTTTAAATGGCCTTTTAAACATCTGAGTTCAAAAAATTGTTTGGGGATTTGGCACGATAGCATTTCAAGGGGGAAAGTGGGTGGAAAATCACATATGCTTCAGTGGCAGCCCTTTTCTGAAAAACTCATCAACTGCCTGGCTGCTTTGTGAACTCAAAGGTATAAAAAGCTGTTAACCTCCCTTCTAGGGAGGTAACCGAAATTCTAAGATGTGTTTAGGGCATTTCCACTGGGGATGGCTATATCAGTTGTGCAAAATATTAGCAAAACCTCTTTGGGGATAACAGAACCTGCCTGCTTTCTTCCAATATACTGAATGATGGAGCTTCCCAATTTTATTTATTAGGTTGTTAAAATGTGCCCAAGGATAAAAGTAGCTTATTGTAGGCGCCATCAGACAAAATGGGGAGAAGAGTTGTATTACTGAGGTTAGCCTTTATTATCTTGCTAACACTGCATAACAGAGTTGTACAAGTATGATGAGCAAAGGATAATAAAAACATCAATGCCCTATTAACTTTGTATGCTCCTATGTATTAATAGGAGATGGATCTTCTCTACTGAATGTCCCCATTGTAAAGAACTCTCATTACCTTCAAAGATCAAACCCAAAATAGCTTTAATATACTTGCAGCCATGAATGTATTGTATTAAAAGGTGCCAGTGAAGAAAAACATGTATGTATCGTCTTAACTATAGGCTGTAAGTCTTATTAGCTAAAATATGAAATTTAATCAGTTGCTTTAATGTGAATTCTCTGAAAACCGTATCTTTGCCATATCATTTCTTCTCATATATATATATATATATATATATATATATATATATATAAAATCACAATCACATGTTTTCCAAACATAACACCCCATCTTATACAACATAACAAACCTTTGGCTATCACAGCCTAAGACTTCTGTCAACCTCGACTAATGGTTTTCTAACTTTCTTTCTGATTTTGCATTTTATTTTAATAGTTATTGCTATAAAATCCAAATCCTAAACAAACTCCTTCTTAGTCCTTTTTCGCAATAATTCATATAGTTTTCTTTACAAGACTTCTTGCAACCCTACAAGCGATTACAATTGTCTTTCAAATATAATATATCATAAATTTCTTCCAATCTTTCAGGAAAGTCTGGTCTTGCTGGTTCCAAATTTTCCCAGTTAATTTTGCCAACTCAGCTGTCATATCATTTCTTTAAAATTATTGTCTTTGATATCTTTCTCAGCTGATGAGAGAAAGCTGGGAATGAGAAGCAAAGAATGGACAGTTCTCCCAATGAAAGGGTGTAGGAAGTGGAGTCTTCCGAGAATCTATTCCTTTTAACTTATAAATAATCTGGAGTTTGGGGTAAACAGTGAGGTGCAGACTATGCTGATGCTACCAGATCATTCAGGGTGTTTAAAACAAAACAAAAAGAAAGATTACAAGGAGCTCTAAAAGAATCTCTCCAAATTGAGGTGAATGGGCAGTAAAATGGCACAATGCAACTCACTGTAAATGATGCACATTTGAGGCAGACAATTCTAATTTCACATATGCATTAATAGGATCTGAGCTGGTGGTGATAGACCAGAAATGAAACCTTGCAGGCAGGGTGGATATCTTGATAAGGATATCAGCTCAGTAAGCAGGAACTGAAAAAATAGGGATAATTAGGGACTGAAAAATAAAATTGCCCACATCATTATGCTGTTGGAATAATACTGTAGGAATGGGTTTCCCAAATCTAAAATCTAACTGTGCAGTCAGTCTGAAACGGACTCCAAAATCCCCATTTTTCCTTCTCCAAGGGTGCATTAGCTAAAAACCATTAACTTGAGCACTTGAGCAAATGTATAACAGGAACCCAGCTGTATAAACAATACTTAAATATTTCTGTAACAGATCTAAGCTAATGCAGTAATACCATTATGATAATGCTAGTGATTAAATAGGAATCAGACACACGAACATTAGGTAAAACTTCAGACTATTTACATCCATAAAGTTATTTATGGGAGAGGTGGTTAAGCTGTAAAATATTATCGACCATCTGAGAAGCACACTGAACTGGAGGACAGATTAATTGCATACCATTTACATATCTTCAGAAAGTATGCTGCCTGTACATCAGATGGTACTGCCACCACCATCTCCCCATCTTCCTCTTCTCCTCTTTTGCCAGGTGGGCAGGCAGCAGATGAACCTTGGCTGGATCCAAATCACCATAATCAGGACAAAAATAGCTGCTGGCAGTGTTCTTCAAATATTTGCACCTGAGTTCCCATTGGAGTACAATAGCTAGCCTCTCTGAGGGTAGAAGACACAAAGAAATGAGAATGCCAGTGGAGTACTATGGTTAGAGAGTACAGAGTTCAAATCTTCACTCTGCTTTAAAGTTTACTGATTTTCTTGGATTCCCCAGCCCCCCATCTATCCTACCCAAAAGGGTTGCTGTAATTATAAAAAGGGGTTACCATCTAGGTTGCTTTTTGCTCCTTGGAAGAAGGGTTTGAGAAAAATAAGAGGTATCCTTCTAGACTAGAGCTTGTTCTACATATTATGCTACAGCATACATTAAAAAGTGAAACTAAATCTAAAGATGTTCAGAATGCACAGGAAAAAGTCAGGTAGTTTCTAAACCGGCTTTCTTTAAAATGACATAAACACTTGCATAATTTATTGGGTGCTAACAGCTAGCGGTTATTTTCCTTCTGTTCTCTGCACACAACCCAGATTAAAAATGTCAAGCTGCATATTGTAGGCATGACTGAAATTTGCAACCCTATATTATGGCAGTTGTGACTCAGCCTTTGAAAAATTGAATCTTAAAAGTTGTTAATGCACTAACCTACTATAGGTTAGAAATAGGTCTGCAAATCTTGGTTAATCAGTATTAGGGTATGTTCATGTTCCTACTTACTGTGACTCTCAACATGCTCCCACCACTGTTTTTTTTAAAGCTGGGTTCACACGTCATCAGCCCCAATCCACCTGTGTCCTGCAGCTTTTAGGGAAAACTTCTCTTTGATGTGTTTTTCTTGAAACCAGCTCCCATCCAGTTTGAAAATGGAACCAACGCTGTGCTGTGAACAGTTCGGGCTGCTTTTGCAGGTGCGCAGATGAGGGCTTCACATGGCGCAGGGAAAGAAATCAAGTGAAGGCACACACACTTTTGCGCTGGTGTGCACAGTGATGGGAGAAAGCCACTTGGAAATGCAGCAGGAGTATGGGAGAACTTCACAGCTTCTCAGGCTGCTAGTGTGAGTTCAGATGAAATGCTGCATCACAGTTAATGCCAAGTTGGAGAAATCCATCTGACTGAGAAAATGCTCAATCTTCTAATCATGAATCTTCTAAACACTAAACCAACCCTAAATGCAACTCTTTTGATAGCAAACTAGGATGGTTAATGCCAGCAGGGTTGTAACAAAAGGGTTGTGTCAGTATTCTCAGAAAAACTCTTAAGGTTTGCAGAAAGTAAAAATACAAAATACAAAAAGCCCAAGAGGGCAAACCCTTTCTCCAAAACCCAAATTAGGCCTGAGCATACTTAGTAGCCATGGACTTTTAACTGTCAATCGGAAAAGAAAAATGGAAAACTTGGGGAAGTGATGGAATGAACTACTGAAGGAGCACATGGCATAACACCCAATACACTGTTACATTTTGTTGCAGACCCACCTGTGCCTCTATATTTGTGATTGGCGGACAAGTAATAGTGAAATAGCAGAAGTAGTCCGATCTTAGGAATAGACAGGGCTAGTTTCACAGGAAATCATAGGCCCCAACAAGTTGTGGTGAGCCTCAGGCTCATACATTTCCCCTCTTTTACATGCCACAGGAAATGCAAAGAGTCTGCTTCCTTTTTAAAGTAATCACAGCTTCCGAGGATGTCCAAATTCATGGAACTGTAGTTTGTTTAAACTATCATTAGTGATAACAAGTTGTGATTATACCAGTTTCCCATTACTTCTGAATTAGGACAGAAACCAGACCATACATCTGTACAGATTCTGAGACACAGATGCATATATTAAGATTGCACAAGAGTATTTTAAAAAAAGATTCCAAGAAACAGTCCTGAAAATAGATGAGATCAAGATGTGCAATAAAACCAGCAGACCTTTTTTTTAAAAAAACCAGATCTCATAAGTATGCAGACAAATTGATCAGCTTTGCACTTTGGCAGTATTCCAACTTAATGAAAGAAATTCATTTTAAGAACTCCTGTGTTTCACTCCAATTATTTTACCCAAAGAATCTAGCAATTAAGACCTTAGCATGCCAATACTGTGTTTCTAATCTGTCCATTTAACTTCTGGATGAAATAATAAACTCTACGCATTTAAAATATCATGAAAATAATATCTTTAATATACAGTTATATATATACTTACAATACACCATTGACATTTGTTCATATATATAGTAGGGTTATTTATTTGCTTCTGGTTTAAATAAATGTTCCTCACCCCAAAACCTGTAAAGAGATTATCAAACCGGCACATACTTTCACAAACACATACTTAGTTTTAACAATAGAATATATTTACTAAGCCAATAAATTGGGTTTTGTTTTGAAATTTGTTTATTTTTGGCATACATGGAACCCATTTGGAAACTGAATAGCTGAGCCCAGAAGCTAATAATTTGCCATTATCCTTTTATGTCTGATCAGCTTCTTTATTTAAGAATTAAAGGAATTCCATTTTTTTAAAAAAGCTCATTTGTTCTAGATATTATTGAGCCTTATGTGTTTCATTTATGCATGATGTATGCGTGAAAAGGGTCTTTTACTACTTTGCTGTTATTGTTTATAGTCTCATCTTGTAGTGTTTCAACTATAAGGCAACTGCATGCTGAAATACTGACTTTACATTTCAGTTTCATAACTGACACACCTTAAATTTGTGGAAGTTAATGCTCATATTGCAACTGCCCCAGTACAATACTAGTAGTGGCGGTAGGAAAGGGAGTATCATTTTTTTTGAGCTGCATCCATCCCGCTCTTACACCCTGCCATTTAAGAGGCAGCTTGTTCCTCATACTAAAAAGGTTTTCTTGCCACCTCTAGTTTCCCTGAGGTAGTGCAAGTAATTAATCAGATGCAGGATTGTTTCTCCAAACCTCTTACAGGCTTTTGGGCTGACGTTAAGAAGTTTTCGTGGCCCAGGCTGCATCAGGTATGACTTACTACTGTGTTTCTCGATGCAACAGTTAAGAACCCACTTACACTTGCTGGTAATGCAGATCAAGTGAGAGATGGAGCCTCATCCATTCAGCAATGCAGTAAAGTGCCTAAGTCTGTTTGGCCAACACATCTCTCCACCTCCTACTGCATCTGAAAACAAACTGGTTGCATTAATAACCTACAGGGAGGAAGAAGGGATGGAAAATTTTCCTTTCCTGAACGTCCTGAAGTTAACTTACATTTACAACCCAAACCACTGAATCGATCATTAGTGTCTACTAATGAAACTGTTGCTATTATGAAATCTTTACAGCATTATATATACCATAGTCATAGACATATTATGGGACTTTGTTATAAATTTAGCTTTAACACACACACACCCAATTTAGTTGCCCACTTGGCTTTCAAAAGTGCATTTTCCTTATGCAATTAAGCAAACATTCACTAAGGCAAGTGTGGGAACCCTTTGGCATTCTAGAAGTTGCTAGACGACAACTCCCATCATCTCTGGCATTTGCCCATGTTTGCTGGGGCTGTGGGCACTGTAGTTCAGCAACATCTGGAGGGCCAAAGTTCTCCACATCTGCCCTAAAGCTTTAGTTTTTGCCATTAGCAGTATGATGCCACCCCTATGTACAATCCATTCTTACTTGTAAGAATGTTCCACAGACTTAAGCATGGCTGCTCCATCCCAAGTATGCACACAGGAGTCTTCCTAAACTTGATGGGCCTTATTTCCAAGTAAACAGACTTAGGGCTGCACTGTAAGCATCTTAAAGAAACTGAGCACATTACACTGCACTATAGGATTAGCCACACCAAAGCAACAGTTACAGGTATCTTATGGATGGCCTCAATACTCCCAGGCTGCCTCCTATTTAAAGGAAAACCTATTGAAATCCTGTTGTGAAAACAAGAACACCCATATATAAAGGACTATTATACAAGGTGTTATTGTGCTGCACATAAAGGGATTTTGCAGCAAGATGATTAAATGCAAAACTATGTCCATCGCACTGCTCCGAAACAAAAAGCAGCATCAATTCTGCTTTCAGCCAGCACTTTAGTTATTTATCAAACATGAATAGAACAGGGGCCATAATCAGTGGCACATGCCCTCCTAGCGTTCACTCTTTACAAAGACCTGAGGAACAATATTATCATGCCTCTTTTATTGACCATTCTGGGTCACCCAACCACTGCCACAGTGTCGTTTCTCCTGGCACATCAAGAGGAGCAGATGACTACAAAGGTTGCAAGGTTTCTAGCTGGGGCAATCAGAATAAGGTCCACTATTTGACGGCCGATTCAGGACCCTAAACTGTGTTTGATATAATTGACTTTTTATTTTGTTCTGTGTAAATCATAATTTTTTTGTTGTTGCTATGGCCGATGGCTGACGCAAATAAAGTTTCATTCATCACCACCACCAGGGGCTATAAGATGGGATACTCCTTTTAATCAGAATATATATGGGAGGCTGCATGGTTAACTCTGAGGACTCCGTCATATGAGAGGTCCTTGTTACACCTCCCAGTCCTATGTTGCAATCTGCCAAGGAGCAGGCACTGTCCTGGCAAGAATGCTGCCTGCCAGCCTGGGTGCTTCCCCTTGCTCTGAATGCTATTCGCATGGCATCATGGAAAAATTCTATCTCTGATCCTGCAAGAAATAAGATCTGTGAACATACTTTGGGAGTGAGGAGACACTGGAGTCCTTGTGTAAGTGGTCAGGGTTGAAAGGATTAGTATTGCTCCTTGGGTGGTGCACAAATGCTTAGGAATGCTCCCTCAGCCATTAATCCGCCAATGGACTAACATTGTTAAAAATATTTTACTGGGGGATGCTGGTGGGACAAACGAATTCTCAAAACGCTACAAGGCAACAAAATGATCTGTGGAAGCAGAGGCAGAGAACAGAATATGGGGAAAAAACCCAACAACATTCCAATGCAGAAATGAGAGTCACTACGAAGTCTGGGATAAAAGGACATGCAGTGTGTGTGTGCTACTAATCTCACCACTCTAAGTCAGGTGTGGGGAATGTTTGGCCCTCCAGATGATGCTGAACTACAGCTTCATTGACCATGCTTGCTAGGGCTGCTGGAAGTTGTTCAGCAACATTTGAAAGGTCACCAGTTTCCCACACCTGCTCTCACTAACTTCTTAAATATGATGACCCAGAAGGCAATAAAGTTACGGCCAGACATGAAACAGAGTAAAATTCAGTGTGCCATATAGCACTTACGAACTGAATGGATTTATTTGTAAATTAAATTAAGGTATGAGATTGTTAACTGCTTTGATGCCACACCAAGAGCAGAACTACAATCCTAAACACTTGTTATTGAAGTAAATCCTACTGTGTTCAATGAGGCTTACTCCTAGGAAACATGCATAAGATTATGGTAGGATTAAGGTTGCCCAAAGCACAGAATTGTTTTCCATTAAGAGAAAACTTGCTAGAAATTGGAAACATTGCCTCCCCCCCCCACATCCTGCAAACCCTTCACTATTAAAAGATTTTAACCATGTGGTGAGCGCTTCTCAAATCACAAGGGATTATACACTGAGGAGCTATCACAGGAACCCTTGCTTGAAGTACAAATAGATTTTTGAAAACACAAACAAAGATGTCAGGCAACTGCAATTTAACTTCCAGACTGATAGGCACTCAACTGCCAAGGTTTGCTATATGATGCCAAACCACAGTTAAAATTTCTCAACAATGGTTTGACATGATTGTCTGAATGAACCGAAAGAATGTTGGCTTGGCTTGGATGCAAAGAGAAGTTGAATCTAAGAGAAGTTGGATCCTAAGACAGTTTTAGGCTTTTCTCTTTCCTTAGCAGGCCCCCCTATTGCTCAGAAGGGTCAATGATTCTCTAGAGCAGGCATGGCCAAACTTGGCCCTCCAGCTGTTTTGGGACAACTCCCATCATCCCTAGCTAACAGGACCAAGGGTCAGGGAAGATGGGAATTGTAGTCCCAAAACAGCTGGAGGGCCAAGTTTGGCCATGCCTGCTCTAGGGAGTCTTTTCGTGGGGCACAGGAGGCTGCAAGGGAAGGAAGAGTCAGGAAACTTTCCTTCCATTAATTTCCTTACGTTAACGAAAACCATTGGCCATATTCACACATAACACTAAACCATGGTGCTCATCAGTGCTTCTAGAAAAAAAGGTGTCGGTACTGTGCACCTTGATTACCCTCAGAAAAAAGCACCGGTAAGTAAGAAGGAACAATGGATAGCACAAGCCAACATTAAGGGAAAATAAAAGTAAGTTCTGGTAATGTTCTTTAGAGCCTTGGGCTCATTCCAGATTGTGCACATAGGGTTATCCCATGGTTTAGCATTCCATGTGAACTGGGCCACTGAAGTTAAAGTACAGGCTTTCCCCCATAGAATTTCTTCCTATAAAAATGCAGTCCAGTGCTGGACTTGGCCACTGAAGTGCTTGCAATCCTATGAGATACCGGGGGGGGGGGGACATTGCATCATGATAATCCTGGGATCATCACTGACTTCTCACATGAGAATCCACCTAACTACACTAGTCTACTCATCTATGGAGAAAGTACTTTTAATCAAGTCCCCAAAGTGTTTTGTTGTGTTTTTTTAAATTAAGCAGTTTACAATCTCCCCCCTAATGGCAAGAACGTTCTTCAGCTTTCTCCCACAAATACAGCATGCAGTCTTCTGTAAGCCTCCTAAGTCATTTTTTTCCCAATGAACAAAGATAACTGAAGAAAAATTAATGAAAATATCACATTAAGGAACACTGCATTAAGGATTGGGTGGTGGTGGTGGTGGGGAAGCTTTAAATACAAACATGAAATCCTTTATCCTAGCTGTTTAACTCTTATGAATAAGCAATGGGATTAGTAGTGTTGTGTTAAGACCTGGATTCCCTTCCTAAGACTTCGATGTATTTGTTGTCTAGCATAATGAAAACAGGCTGGCTGGGTAAATACATCACACACCATGTGCATTCTCCTCACCCCACTTTTTAAATAGTCAAATGCATTTAATAGATTAGGATCCTAAAACATCCATATATTATTTCAAGAATAGGAGGGTAACCTCAACTATTCTACTTCCTCTAAACATTTCTTAATCATCATTTAATCAGCTTAATTTTGATTAGACTAGATTTAGTTTTGGGAAATGTGAAATGTTTAATTTAGGTTAGTGTTTAGGTTTCACTCTTTCCTAATTATGGTTTTTTAAAGAAACCTTAGAGAAGCAGCAGCAATACAAAGCATCTAGGATGAACCACTGAACTGCTGCATCTGTGTCTTATTTCCTGAAAACTTGCACTCCAAGGCAGATCATTCTCACCTTGTGTGCATTTTACACCCAAGACAATGGGTGCATTGTTCTCTAACAGTTATTTGTACTAATGTAAGCCATCAAAATTTGCTCAGATTGAATGCAAAGTAGTTTCAATCACATTTTAAATCCAAATCTTTCTTTGTTTCTCTAATACAAAACCTTTTCCAAAATCTGTAAAACAAACAGCACATTTCGGAACAGCACATTTCTGCATTTCAGAACCCCTTTGCTCCCCAACACTGAAAGGAACCTGTGCTTATTCTCTCCCTTTCTGTATCTGTTATCTGCTATGCAAGAGAACTTGACTGGGTAAAAAAGAATACCTGCCTTGATTGCGATAGTTTCTAAGGGAAACAGTACGATGGTAAATCAAACTGGGGCCATTCTGAGAAGTAGATTGGTAGGGCTATGACTTCTAAACTGTTTGGGCTGAACTACCCCAAATCCTGCCCCTCCCACAGAGCTATATGAAAGACCAAGGCCTTCCTTCTCCCTCAAGTGCTATTAGGTTGAAAATTATGCTGCGTTCATAGATCATTGCCCCTTTATAAATACATGTGTGTAGAAGCTGAATGTGTTTTTTGCTACCTCTCTTTTCCCCTCCTCGCCCTGTAAATTATAACTGAGCAGAAAGAGAGGCCACAGGTGGATAACAAGGCAGAAAGGAAAACTGCATGTGTGAGCAGGGCAGTGACAGCTCACAAGAGATTTAAGAGCAGAGGATTACCGGTAAGTATTGCTCTCCTAAAGGCCAACAACTCTATAAAAACCAACCCTGTTTTCAACTAGGCAGAGAAATAAGTGGCGAACTTGTATTGCCTTTTCAATGAGAAATTTGCACTCATCTGGAGGTGACACGAAGCTACTAAATCCTTCGTCGGTTTTTTTTGCGGTTTGAATTTCCTTCTGGAAGATGGATTCATTCAGAAAAGGGTTCTAATCACAACCCACATATAAAAGGAATGCTATCCCAACAATTAGAACGAGTGGGAGAAGGACACTAACCATTGGATAAATCAGAACTGAAGGCAAGGTATGCAGCCATCAGAACACAAAAAAAACCCCCAAGAGGAAATACATTTATTGGTAAACACACAAAAATCAAGGTGATTTGTGTGCTGTTCAGCTTTGCCTAATCAATAATAATAAATATAATGTCTTAATAGACTACACTGAGTACAAATTAAATTCCCTTTAAAGCCCACTGTTTAGCAGCTTCTGAATGTTCAGGGATGCACAAGGCACACCTCCCTGTTTCTACTATGTACAAAAGAGTCTGCTCACCACTCAGAATATCTGCATAGTAAGAATGTTTTTTTTCCTGCTACTATATTTACATAAGAGCAACAGAGGATTTTAGTGCAAAAACAAAAACAAAAATGAGAGACTGTGTGTTAGCCCCGGTGCTTCTGGCACACCTCTCTCTGAGTTTTATTGCACCGGCTTCGTAGCACTACATTTTAGGTCGCCAGCCATTAATGAACTGCAGTATTTTCTTAACCTGCAACTTGCTTAGCTTGAAGTCCTCCAAAAGGATCTCTTCATTGAGCTGAACAAGCAAGTTGCCGTCAATCTTCTCTGTAACGAAAAAGGATATGACATCCTCAGATAAACCTATAAACCTCAGAGATTTAGAAACTTCCTCTATTGAAAGTCCAGACAGATCCACAGGGGGCTGCCAAGGAGAGCCGTCACCGCAGGACCTTGGTGCTAGCTGAAGGTGGAGGGGAGATGAGAAAGGATAAGGGATGGCAAAGATGTCTTGCATGCCCTTTTTGCCAAGGTACTGATCTTCAGAAAGGTCTGGCGAGCCTGCCTGCGGTTCTTCCTCGGCACCATCTATTCTGAAAGGCAGGGGACACAAGTCAAGGCCGGGCTTCTCATCTGCCGCTTTTGGTGCACGAGGGGGTAAGGCAGGACATGAGAGAGACTGCGGTGTGCTACTGACTGCCAGGCTCTTCTCATCGGTGCACTCGAGAGAGTAACTCGCTGACTTTGGGCAAGTGGGCACTGCACAACCAGGTTCTGCTGCAGCTGGCAGGGTGTCCCCTACAGGAAATTCACTTCTATCCAAGTCAAATGTAAAAGTTGCTGGGCAGTTTCTCTTTGGTGTGCCAGGAGTCTTCTGTCTTGGATAACTGTAACTCCTGCTTGGGTCCAATAGGAATTCACCCCTGTTAAGGCCTTCAGCAGCTCCGGAACAATGATTTGGCCACGACAGCCTGGAGGACAGAGCATCAGCAGAGGGGCTTCCAAAAGGCAGTAGGTTGCCAAAATCTTGTAGGTCAGCCTTCACTGTGCTGCACGGATAGCAAGCAACAGGAGCACTCTCGGAGGCAGACTCAGCTTCTCCTTCTGCAGCACTGCTTTTTTTTTTTTTAAAGATAAGCAAAAAGATAATTACTTTGGTACTTGGTGGTCATGTGAGAAAGCTATTACTTTGCCTTACATTATGTCAAGATGGCGGTCAGTGTCTTTATACAATTTCCCTTCTGCAGGGAACTGTTTGCAGAACTGTTTGCACATCGCAAATTCAAACACAGGAATTAGATTTGGGGGGCGACATGCAAAGCCAAACCACACCCTCATTCTCTGAAAAGCAGTTAACTGTACTGACAATTATTTTGTAATTTCTAAGCAAATTTGTTCACTTAAGTGGAGGGCACCACAGTTCAAGAAGGACACTGACAAACTGGAACGTGTCCAGAGGAGGGCAACCAAAATGGTCAAAGGCCTGGAAACGATGCCTTATGAGGAACGGCTAAGGGAGCTGGGCATGTTTAGCCTGGAGAAGAGGAGGTTAAGGGGTGATATGATAGCCATGTTCAAATATATAAAAGGATGTCACATAGAGGAGGGAGAAAGGTTGTTTTCTGCTGCTCCAGAGAAGCGGACACGGAGCAATGGATCCAAACTACAAGAAAGAAGACTCCACCTAAACATTAGGAAGAACTTCCTGACAGTAAGAGCTGTTCGACAGTGGAATTTGCTGCCAAGGAGTGTGGTGGAGTCTCCTTCTTTGGAGGTCTTTAAGCAGAGGCTTGACAGCCATATGTCAGGAGTGCTCTGATGGTGTTTCCTGCTTGGCAGGGGGTTGGACTCGATGGCCCTTGTGGTCTCTTCCAACTCTATGATTCTATGATTCTATGATTAAGCTTGCTGCTATACAACTATGGGAAGTTTTTTAAAATCACTTTTCATCATGCCAGTAAACTTTGCGAAGTTATCTAACATTGCATTGCATAGGGGGAAATAGGGTGGTAAACTGTGTATTCTGAACTGAAGGAATGAAATCTGGACTCTGCTAACTTAATAAAGAACAGATGTCTGGCCCCTGTACCTTAAACCTAGTAGGTAGAAGGATTTAGACAGATATGAGAGATAATTCTCATGTTCATTCAAAGGGACTGAACTTGCAAAACATGTGCTCTACGACAGTGCGCTATAGTGCTTCCTTTGACATTAATATCCAGTGTGTCACAATCCATAGTGTGCCCATTTACAGGTGGACCAATTTTCAAAGTACAGTGCAAAACTGCAGGGATTTCTTGTTACAGTAATTTGGACTTCCCTAATAAGTTGGGTGTGCTTTTTTTAATGGCTGGAGTAATCCACTTCAGTGACTGTTCCCTTACAGATTAGACTGTAAGGAAAACCCAAAGGCATCTACTAAGACAAGAGGCTGAATTACCTTACCTATTAAGTGTATAGTTCTTACAGGGAAACTTTGCACAAAACTGTTTGAAGGGATAACTTGGAAGGATGTTCTCTGGAGTAACTGTAAGCATCCATGAACAAGAGAAGGCTGAGAGCCGGAAGGAAGTGTTCCGTACTTACATGTTGTGCAGCCCTGATGAATAGTATGAGAGTGTTGGACTAGGAGAACGAGTCTGCTGCCGCGCTGGTTTGTTTGCCCGCGGAGGAACAGATGGACTGGTGGATGTTGGCTTTGAATTTCGTGGAGGAACAGGAGGGGCATTCAGGAGTCTACATTCTTCTCTGACCTAGGAGGGGAAAAAAAACTTTATCATTCGGCAGAACTTTAGTATGTTCAAAGCACACCGTATAAGTAACCAGCAACCCGTACAGAAACCCTGTAAACAGTGCTTTTCTTCTATAAAAAAGGTACTGTGTACCCTTGAGTAGCCCCAGAAAAAAGCAGGTCAGCACTTACTACGGATGAAGAACAGAAGCTGTGAGAGAATGACTTAGTGAGTGCACTGATCAAGCTAGATCTGGATTTCCTGGGTGACTTCCCAGCTCCCAGCTCTTTTTCTTCACCCCCACATCACACCTGGTGTGCAAGAATTTAAGACAAGGCTTGAGAGTCCAGGTGGGTAACCTAATCGGAATCAGAGGTAGATGTATCAGCTCAGGACCCAGTTTTTTAAGGATCACAAAACAAGAGGAATAGGGGTGGTATTCATCCTACAGTGCCCACAAAGGTGGTTAAAAACAAGCAAACCCTGAGTACTGGAATACAATGTTATTGCCTTCTTAGTAGCACATATGTATTCATATAGAAAGCATAGCCTGTCTACTTATCTGTTGCCAGCAGAGGGCATATGGTAGCCACTGAAGGATTGCATGAGCTGGTACAGATGTTACTGGACCCAGCTTACTCTGGTCATCTGCCCATATACAAACAGTCTACCTATGTGAGCAAGAAACGTCTGAAGAGGAGGCTAGAGTGAAGGAGAACCTCTTCTTCCATAACTAGAAGCCATGCTAAAATATTAAAATATGCAACTACCCAGTAGGAAATGGGAAATCATTTAGAGTTGCTATCAGAAGAACAGAAAACTGCAAGCGTTTTAAAACTGGTGTTTTAAAAACCAGGCAAGACAGTCTGCACATTTCGGTTGTAACCATCCTTCAATGTTGTGATTGCAGGTTTTGTAACTGTAAGCTTTTTTAAAAAAAAACAAAACACCAAAGGTGCAAGATAGCATACTACAACAATGGGAGAATTTCTCCCTCTGTGAATACTAGCAGTGAATACAAGGCTTTGATTTTTAATGCTTATTTCAAGATATTACAATGTTTTATGTATCGAGAATGCAGCACTATACCTGCCATTGTACAAGCAGCTATGCATCATCGTCATCAATTTATTAATCACCTTCTACACATCAAGGTGATGTACAATTAAAACACCAAAACAGAGCTTAAAACACAAAAAGCAGAGATAGAAAAACTAAAACAATACAAAGTGGACATTCCTGGCAAAGACCACCAATTTATCCCAGCTGTGGCAAAGCATCAGAATAATAGGGGTGACAGGTGTGGGTACAGAGGTACTAGCTGTACAGTGGTCAAGGCAATACTGTGTCAACTGAGTAGAAGTGAGGGGCCAGAGGATAGCAGTTTGATGACCAACATGCAAGGAGCTAATTTTTAGAGAGGCCTTCAATTCCCAAGCAAAAAAATCAAAATGAGTTCTCTTTTGTGGCTGTTACTGAATTCAGCCATAGCACCAATGAGCTTTCAGTGTTGCCCCCTAGATTGCACTAAATTGATTAAATTCCGACTCGAGCATCAGTATGGTATGCAGAGCAATAATGACGCTTTTATAAAGCACGATAAAATGTTGCCTACATATTCAGTGTGAAGAAGCAGCTCAGTCCTAGAGAGAACTTCAACCCAGAAGGCCGTCCTGTACCAAGAAAGGCTCCATAGGGCACCTTTTTGAAGCTTTAAGAGTAAAAAATGTATGCTCAGCAGTAACAAATGAAGCAAACATGCTCTGTAAATATTGTGCCAGGAATAAACAGGAGTCTTACTTACTCACTGCATTAAACCAAATATATAGAGAAATGCCTTTACCTTCAGAAACATGTATTTTTTTAGCTTGCGACTACCAACTGGTGTTCATTAAACCAAGGCATATTTAAATAACTTCTAAAGTTAGGCTAACAATATGCTACAACACCATGGCTATATAATTCAGGGAAATATTTTTGATGTGTCTAAGAGTTTCTACATGCCTAATGGATTTTGAGAGTGTGGAGGATAGCTAAATGAAAATGCCTACCCCGCGTCCTGCAGCTGTACAAAAGGCAAATTCCATGTCAGGTATAATTAGGAAAGGGACTGAAAACAGAAACGTCATCAATGTAATGGCAAATTTATTGTGTGGCCACACTTGGAATATTGTGTACAGTTCTGGTTGTCACTTCTCAAAAAGGATTATTGTAGAGCTGGAAAAATATGAAGAAAAGGCAACTCGAATGACTGTGGGAGACTGTGGAACAACTGCCCTATGAGGAAAGGCTATAACATTTGTGGCTTTTAAGTTTTGAAAAAAGGCAAGTCGGAAGGGACATGAGAGAGGGAGATAAAATAGTGTGGGGGAAGAGGGTAGAGAAAAAGGTTTCTCTCCTCATATTAAAAACTGGAGCCAACCAATGACACCAAATGGTGGGAGATTCAGGATAGGATACAGGTATCAATGGCTGCAAGTTGTGATGGTTATATATTAGCTCCAGATTCAGAGGGAGCATACTGGGGGACAACAGTGGGAGAAAGCCACTGTTCTCATGACCTGCCTGCTGCCTTCCTACAGGCATAGGTTAATCAGTGTGGGAAGCAGGATGCAGGCCTAGATGGGCTTAAGGTCTGATCCAGACCTAGTTTTGGACTAGTTTTCTGTTCTTACTTTCACCTCAGCTTTGTAGCATTTTGCATACTTTTGAAAATCTGTCTGATGAGAGTCAATGTTGGGACAAAAAACAAACAAACAAACAAACAAAACACATGCACATACGCTGCCAAAAAAGAGCCTCCAGTGACCCTTAACCCCTTAAAACCATTGTCTACCTCTACGCCATATTTTATTTAATTCCACCATTTTATTGATTTCTACTGCTGATTTTTCCATTCAGGGCCTATTATTTTTTGACCCATACACCAGACATATGCTCATCTCTAATGCAATTTTAATCATACTGTTCCTTGATGCAAAGTATTACATGGAATACTTACGGTTTGCAACATAGAGACCCCTTTTAAAAAAACACCAAAGAACCCTTGCCTGTTCAATTTGCTAAGTCAATTTCCATCACTCAAGTGTTTCTCCATTTTTCTTCTTCCCCAGGAGCATTAAGCAGGTTCCAAGTTGGTAACCTTTTGTTCTTGGGAGGACATACTCATTCAGCATGGAGTTTCATCTTACCATTAAAAATGGCAAAAATTCTTTGCATAGCAAAAAAACATTTCTCCATTCAATTTTACATGTGAAGTTGCACAATGCACAGAAAAATGCATGCTCTACAGGGAAACATTTTTATTGGACGCAATAAAATCCTGTTCTCAAATGTGGTTTACTTCCAAACCAATCTAGAAAAGTGCAAACTCTAGAGGGGGAAAAATGAACACCAAGGCTGCTATCCTATACCCATCTTCTTGTGAGTAAGACCCACTGAGCTCAGCGAGGTATACTTTTAAGTAGATATGTATAGGATTGTACTTAAGCCTTCAAGAACTATGAAATGGGTATTGGCTAATTGAGGAAATAATTCTTTCTGCAGAAGATTTGGGGGATCCCAAAGCCTCTGAATTCACAATTATGACAATTATGGGTCAGGAAATCAAGTTCACCCCATTATCCAGATCAACGCTTTTAAGTTTATGATCTGGACCTACCATCACCCATCTTGATTAGAAAAAAAAAAGACCATGACTTACTGCTTCTGATTTAGGAGGCACAGGTGGTGGAGGTAGGGAAACTTCTGGAGATTTTGATGTTACTGTTATAGGCCCAGGTGCTGGAAGAGAAGAATTGCCACACTTGGACCGGAAAGAACTCCTATAGCTGTCACATTTGTTCTTCTCACTTTGTGAGCGAGTGAGAGGCTGATCACTCATTTTCCCACCCCCCTGGTCCAGCCACAGTTCCTCATAAGGAAGTTCCGGTTTGGTAGGTAAACACAACGATTCTTCACAAACTTCAGGGAACAGGTAGTCGCTGCTGCCATCGCCCGAGTCCTGGCACTGCAGGGCATCATGGGAGAATAAAGCCCACTCGTTGCACAAGTCCCTGCAGCCGTGAAGGTTCACCTCACTATTTCCATGGAGGTTGTTTCCATAAACACAAACCGAGAGGCGGTGGAAGGATTGCGTCAACTCATCCCGAGCGTAGCTAAGAGAGTTTGGCATGTGGTTGTGGCAGTGGGGCCGGGCTTTCTGTGGACTTTTGCACTCTTCATTCCAGTCGGCTTTCACATCTCTCACGCCGCGGGAATACTCGTCGATGTCAAACTGCTCTTGGCAGAGACTGAACCAGTGCTTGACAAAGGCTTCGTGACCCACCTCCCCTTTCACAAGGCTTTCGGGGAGCGTGAACTTTGGAAGAGCCAAATGCAAAGGGAAGTGCATGGGAATGATTTTGTTACTGTGCAGCGCACAGCAAACCACCACAGTCTTGGTCTGAATGTTGACAAACTTGTAGCGGTGCCCCTCGCGGACAAAATGCAGGTCGTAAGGGTTTCGGGGCGGAGAGCTGGGCACAGTCACGTTCACGGGCAGCCGGGTCTTCTCCACGATGTTGCGAATGGTGTGTTCGCCCTCCTGCATCTGCAGCTCCAGGGGGCTGCGCGTGCTGAAGCGGCCCTTGCACTGGAAAGGAAGGCTGATGCTCTCGTTGGTCCTGTGGTTCATGCAGATCAGGCACGGCATCTTGCCTCTGCCCAGCTTGCTGATGGAATTGAGCTTCCCGATTTTCTTGAAGATGGTGTTGAGCCGCGACTTCTCCTTGGAAGATTTTGCATAGAGGATTTCCGCTTGCCCCATTAACGTCAGCTCGTCTCCCGTGCAGAGGGTGATGTTGTAAAGCTCGGTGTCTTCGTTGCATTCACCAGAAGCCACCTGTAGCACAGAAAATTTAAGAGATGCCCAGATAAGCCATTTCGAACATGAAGCGTAAAAGCAACAGCTGCAGAAACAACGAATTAAAAATTATTGAAACTGCAGATAAGGGATCAACATTTATTTAAAATGTCTTATTTAAATTTCCTCTACAACCAACCTCATTTCTTTACTGAATATGAAATTCTATGAATCCATATGTACACAGGCAATTCTGATATATCCTGGAAAGAATTATGCCCCAGCCAAAGAATAAAAACAATGCAGTTAATGTAGGGAAACCAAACATTTGAACCGAGTAAGACCCCCCCCCCCGCAAAGCCTTGCAAATTAGGACTGAGTCACTCTGACTTTGCTGAATTTTTCATCCCACTCCCATAACTAGGGAATGGCAGTGTGGCAGCTGCCAGCTGCATTCTCTCTCTTTTCTGGCTTAAGGCAGCCTCTATAGTTCTGCTGTGGATCTGTGTTTCAAGGACATAATAGAGTACTACAATGGTTGAATACGTGTGTGTGTGTAGGAGGTTAAAACATGAAGGAGACTATACAAGTGCTATCAGTGAAGATGACACAGAGTTGGGCTACAAATGCTAGTGTTTCCTAAGCCCAGGAAACAATCAAATTCTATTGTTGTAGGAAAGGTGACAGGTAGAGCTTACTACTTGGACTGATCATGGCCTGGAGGAATTGCAGCTTATCCCAAGGCAAGTAGCCAAGTGGCAAGCTACACGGCTGAACCAAGAGTCACAGAGAATCAGGAGTGAGCAATATTGAATGCACAAGTTAGGTTGCAGAGCCTGCCTCCCCTTGATGAAACTTTGCAACTTCATAGAAAGAGTGCCACTTTTCTGGTCTACACTCTTTAAGAGTGTCAGAGGCAAGCTTCTTCAGCTGGATGCGGGGAAGGCTAGGTTTTCTTAGGTCTCAGCCTTGGGTGTATATTTGTACTGTGTGGTGTAGTGGCTAAAGCACTGGACTGTGACCTGGGAGGCCAGGGTTCAAATCCTCATGCAGCCTTGAAGATCACAGGGCAACCTTGGACCAGTCACTGTCTCTCAGTCTATCCTACCCCACAGAGTTGTTGTGAAGATAGAATGGGGAGTGGAAGAACCATATTTTTGTATGCCACCTTGACTCCTTGGAGGAAGGATGGGTTATAAATATAATAATACACAGGGATATTTTTTTAAAAAAATGTTTTAAATTTAATTTGTTTTTCTCAATTGCTTTTTAATTGCCTGTAAGACAGAATTGTTCCACCTGGCCTTTGGCTTAGAATCAGTTTGATTCCTTCCCCCTCTTTCTTTTTCCTTTCTCCTCCTGTGAAGAGGCTGCATCCTAATGTTTTAATGTTGCATCTTAATCTTTTAAATTGTATTTTAATCAACTTGTTTTTATTATTGGTTGTTAGCCTCCCCGGTCTTGGCTGGGGAGGGTGGGGTATAAATAAATAAAATTATTATTATTATTATTATTATTATTATTATTATTATTATTATTATTCCTGTTCTTATTGTATGATTGTATGATTGGAAATCACCCTGAGACTTATATGGAAGGGGATTCATAAATTTAAAAATAAGAAATAAATATAAGCTAATAAATAAGAAATGGAATGGAGCTAGTAATGGCTAGGGCTCCAAGAGCATGGCACGTGAGAAAGCATCACATTTCCACACATAATCAGAGTACCGCCTAAAACCGTCGGCTCTTTTACAACATATACATTTTTGTTACTGAGTTAAGTGTAGACTGAGATCCCAATCTGATGATCAGCCTAAGAACCACTCCTTCCAGTCACACTGGAAATTGCACAAATGGAATGCAGAAGGAATAGAACAAACCCATCAGACGTGTTCAGGCATCCACTATATTCATGTAATTCAAAATAATAATATTAATTGCATCCACACAAACTAAACAAATGGGCTACAGACTTTTAGCTCTTGATACATTCTCCAGTCCTTTGTCAACCCTTTCCTATTTACTGAGGCCATTGTTCCTTAGTGAGCAAAAATATTGAGTTTGCAATACCTCCCACAAACACATTGCCAGAGTTAAGAAATCACAAATAACTTATACTTTTCCCAATAGGAAAATACATTCCCCCCCACAAAAGGTTGCCAGATTTGGTCATGGAAGATCCAGGTTCAAATCTCTGCTGAGCCATAACATTCATCTGCGTAGCTTTAGGCAAGTTACTGTCAAGCTTAACATATTACACAGGAATGTGAAAAAGAAAAGTAAGAATATATTATAAACTCACCTTGAATTCATGAGATAGGACAAGAATAATGGCCTTTTCCCCAACCCATTTCAGTACTCCCTCCAGTGTTTTTGAATGTATGCATGTGTAATTTTACCCCACCCCTGTAATTAACAACTCACCTGATAGCTATAGGAGACCTGGCATTTTATGCTAGAGCAGTGGTGTCCAAACTTTTTTTCAAAGAGGGCCAGATTTGATGAAGTGAAGGGCCATGAGGGCTGACCAAACGGCTGACCAAAGTTGTTAAGCTTTTTTTTAGGATTGAAGTTGTTGGGCTTTTTAAAGAATTTTACCCCAGGGGCCGCATTAGGCCCCTGAAACGGACTTTGGACATGCCTATGCTAGAGAGTGCATGGGAAAAGAATGAGCTGCCACCCTATTGGTTCTGGTCTAGGCAGAGGGAGGCCTTGGCCCATCCAGCTCCCTCCAGTGCAATGGATCAGAGAGTTGGGTTGCACGCTTTTCCAAAACAGGTAATAACACAGCATAATATATTCCTTTTCTTCCAAAAGCCTGCTCGTATTCAGAGTGGCATTCAGTTTCTGCTTCTTAGTATTTGTAGTTGTCAACTGCATGCTACCACATAAGCAATGAGCATAGCAATCCTAACTCGCGTTTATACTCTGTTTGGGGATAAGGTGAAATATCCTGGAGATCTGCTTGCACAGAGACTGCCACATCCAATTCCTTATGGGACTCTTACCTCCACTGACTAAAATAGAAGGGAATGGACTGTGCCAGCCCCATAGTTAAATGAACCATTACTGCGACCATGCTAGGGAAACAAAGGGGCTTTGTATCATGCCTACACCTACCCATGGCACTATCCGCTTTCCTCCTCTCTCCTGGTCAAACATTGCTGATGGAGCGCCAATGGACCATCGATGCCAGCAGAGCTTTCCACTGGTGCAAGTGTTGTTCTGCTAGTGTATGTCTGCCTTCAAAAACATGCAAAGCCCCTGCTAAGTGTGAATAACAACTTGACAAAACTGGAGGAGATGCATCTTATGCATGTGCTTAAAGCTGAATCCTTTGGCATGAACAGGATGCCTGGCTAGTATTGCACTTTCAGAGTTTCCCAAGAGGAAGTAATTCAAATGTTGTGTTCAAATCTACACATCCTCAATAGAGCTAATCCAGGAAACAATCAGGATTTCCCTGTACGTGATACTCATTCACAATTCAGGTCAATGCCATGGCAGTATTATGAAACATTAATATTAAACAATGGTAGATTTCACACCGTGATTAACTATTCTCTCTCTCTCTCTCTCTCTCTCTCTCTCTCTCTCTCTCTCTCTCTCTCTAACTCACACACTTCTAGAGCTGCTTCACACAAGACTTTTTTGCTCCATGAACATCAGTGCTGCAAGGAGAAAGGGCATTTTGGACACATTAGTCTTTTAAATTAAACATAGACATGGTAAAACAGGCACGTGGAGTGTCCCCCCCTTCAAAAAGCCCTCACATGTTTTGTACACATTTTCCTGCAGAAGTACAATATTCATTGAAGACAGATATCCTGTGTGATGTAGACTTCCAAGATGGGATTTAGTTTCAATTTAAGTAATATCAACTGGAGATAAGAACACTCTGAACTTTGCAGAACACTCCCCTCTCCTCACATTTTTGCATTACACACACGGTGAAATCTCACATGAGAAACAAGAAGCAACAGAGAAATCAGTGGCCCCTCATTCCTCTTTTTGCATGGTCTATGTCATGTGTGAATAGGCAGCTTGCACACTTGTTCTATGGTGATATATATGAACTCAACACACATCTGAGTGCAAAGATATGCAAGCCCTTGTACTGCAAATTTGACAGGATGGGCAAGACTGCTGCTGCTCATGTTTAACACCTGAAGACAAAGTCCCTTGCTTAGAGCAGTAATTTTATGTCAGTTTTGTTATTCTGAAGCAAAGGTGCACATAAAAAGGTGTTCATTTGCACTTTCATTTATTAATGGCAGAGACAAAAGAGATATGTAAAGCATTATAAATTAGTAATTTCTGACATTCCTCAAATACAGTTCTGCACTACCACAGATATCAGGCTTAGCCAGCTATTAAGTGACTGCAGCAATTTATCTTATGTGTGTATAATGAACTGAAATAAAATGCTAGGTATCAGGGAAACCTAATTTCCTAAACAGTATTTAAAACATCTAAGAATAAGTACATTAACTGGGTAGAGAAAAATGACATTTGCAAAGTTTCTTCTAAACTATGCGTCATGGCATCTAACTCCTCTCCAGCTTAAGCTACAACTGCTATCTAAAGACAAACACAGTGAAGTTGTGCTTAGAAATGCCATGGGGAACTATAGCTCAGAAATGCAACGCTAATTGCTTTGTCTAGGATTTCCACCCTCTGGCATGCCAATGGCATTAATGAGCACATCACTTAGCACAGCCACCCTCATATCCGGAGCTCCTCCTTTTGTGGTGGTACACATAAGAGACTTCAGAAGAAGTGATGATGTGCATTCATTGCCACCACCTCCGCATTATAGTGCAATGGTCAAAGACCTCTATTAATACCTTCCAGCGTTCTGAAAGTGTTTGCAGTGTGGTCACAACTTGAGATCAAGGTCCCAGTGTGCTTGGTCTGACTCCTCTGCTTCCTCCCTCCCACGCTGGAGTCTCGGCTGCAGAATAACTCCTTTTGTTGCCTTACTGTACAGTTTCCAGCCTCCTCTTTCCCCGTACATTTGGAAACACATTTTTAGAGCTGAATTTGGGATTAGGGCCCCTTGGTGGTCTTGAGGCAAACTGGTATGAGACTACGTCGCAGAAAGATTGGATTCAATTTTGCATCAACAAAGTAATGCTTCAGTGTACTGAAAATATTTGCATTCATGGACCTGAAGCTTTACCCAGAGAACCTGAAATATCTTGCAGTTAGCTTATTGGGCAAGAATCCTCAACAACTTTCCCCCTTTTCTTCAGAGAATAAACCTATTGAATTACCACCTCCAGGATCAGGAGGCTCCAGTTCATTTTCTTCTGCCACTATGCTGGAAGGAGTGTGTGTGTTTAAAACTTGCAGCCCCAAGTTCTGCTTTCAAGAAAGAGATGTGGGATGGGTGAACACTCAGTAACTTAAATTAGACTTGGGTATGATTCATGTCACTGATTCCCATCTGGCCAGTTTTGCGATTCAGGCATCGCACTAGAGCAGGGACGGGGGACCAGGTACTGCTGGAGTCCAATTCACATCTGCCCCAGCTAGCATTGCCAGTGGTCAGGGAGTTGGAGTCCAATTAACATCTGGAAGGCCAAAGGCTAGTCACTTCTGCACATATAGGATGCACATATGGGCTTGACTAATTGGCAGATTTGAGTCTTGGCCTCAGATTTAACACCTAACTCAACCCTATTAACCTGATGTATTGGTTGCATTTGTAACCCTCTGTTCCTCCAAGGGGTTCAGGGCTGCTATTCATGAGGTCATCACATTTTAGCCACATGACAAAGCCTGTGAGATAGTATAAGCTGAGAGATAATGGCAGGTCCAAAGACACCAAATAAACTTCACAGTTGAGATGGGATCTGAAGCTAGATTTTCTACACCCAAATATAGCCTTCCAGTATGGGAAAATTAGCTCCTAACAAATAAAGGGGCAGACCAAATAGGAAGGTTTTATCATAAGTTTGATCATTGGCAATTTAGCTGTTTTCAGATATCACGTTACTGGCTCTTCAAATTATTTGGTTAGAATATGGTTCAAGAATAGGTGATGAGAAAAATTGATTCTTCCTTCTCACTTGCACCTTGAGAAGAAGACCTGGTTTCCTCAAACCAGTTTTCTGTGACATCCTAACTGACAAACTGTGGTTTAATTAATCCCTCCAAACCAGGATTGCAAACCATAGTTTGATGAGCAAAGAGGAAGCTGTCTTATATCAGGTCAAACTATTTGTCTCACTAGCCTAATACCATCTTGGCAGGGGCTCTCCATTTCTATCTTGAACAACAGTTGCCATGTTCAGGTGTTACATTCTAGATCCTCAAATTGTGATTTGCCTAGGGGGCTGTAGCTCATTCCCAGGTTCAATGCCTGCCACTGCCAGTTAAAAGGCTCAGACAGCAGGTGGTGGAATATACCTTTACCTTTTTATATTATCTTACAGGACTTTCATGAGGACAAAATATATTTATAATACTTGTAAAGGGGTTCACTGTGCACCTCTCATGCCTTATATATCAGGAGCTGTAAAACTCAGGCTGGAAAAGATGAATTTTCTACCTAGAAAATGTCCAAATGGCTATGACAATTATTATTTTTTGCTAAAAATATAATGTCCACCTGCAATTTATACCAAACAACCATGAATACTTCAGCTTCCAAAACAGGGGGAAACAGACGTTGCTCTTGTAGCTTTGGGAAGTTACATACTCCTAATGAATCATTGCACAAATATGATAAGTTCAGTGTGTGAATACCAAGACGGACATATTAGTGGTCATTATAATCTTCCAAAGTGCAGAGTATGCTGTTTTGTTCTGCATCTAATATAGAATCAATGTACACAGATTTGTGTGTTGTGTGTACAGACATAAACCAAGAGATCCTAGCAGGAGATCTCCCAGTTGGCACCATTTAGAATTCCCATGAGACTCACTTGGCTTTTTCTCTAAACTTGTGTGTGTGTGTGTGTGTGTAGGAATAATCCTGAAGATCAACAGGGCCGAATCCAATTCTAACATGCTTAACTTTCTGACTTAGATGTTACACCCTCTTCTCAAATTTTACTGAATATTAATAATGTTATCTTGACTATAGATGAACTTGCTCAAATGAGAGGTCAAGCATACATAGCCACATCCAAAGTACATAGGAACATAGAACTATGCCTTGTATTTAAACAACCCATCAATCCATGTAGCTCAGTACTGTTTAGTCTAGATTGGCGGCGGCAGTCCTCCATGGTTTCACAGACTGGGAACATTTTCCAGTCCTACTTGGAGGTGTCAGGGATTGGTCCTGGAACTTCCTGCATGTAAACCAGTGCTCTACCATTGAGCTACTGCCCTTACAGTGATAGACCGCCATCTTGGATAGGCCCATGCAGTATGTGCACCTCCCTAGAAAACAATTACTTATTTTTCTAAAGTGATTGTGGCAACAGGAAATAGCTTGTGGTATTTAACCGTTAAGGTGAATCCAGAACAAACATGGAAACTGCTAGAGGTCATTCTAAATGGCCAAGACACTCTAACATACAAGACTGGGAAGAGAAAGAGAGAGAGAGGAACAGTCTACAGACACTGCAGTCAGAATTTATGTGGGTAGTAGTTTCTGACATTACTCTGTTCAACAGTGATACGGCCTCCCTATTTGCAGGGCTTAAAGAAAAAAGCAACAACATGTCATTTGAATCATCTTATTTCTTGTGGCTGCTGCATAGATTTTAAATCAAGGAATCATTAGTCCTTTATGTTTCCATGTAAATAATCTTCACCAGTGTTGAGGGGTTTCAATAATAGTCCATACAGCCCCTGTGTAGCCTAAGACATTCTGTGGAGTGAATGAAGCAGCTGCTCCCTCACCAATTAAAATCTAAGGGGTCGGAGGGGAGGGAGAGGGAAGGGGAGTGCACAACAAAAGAATCTCTGTCTAAAATTTGGAGGCAATTAAACAGATCGGAAAAGAACATTGCTTATTGAAGGTGGTTCCCTCTTTGAAAAAGTCTTCGTGTATATCTCGCACTGATTCACAGAGGCTTCAAGATGGGTTTGGGGGAAATGTACACAGTAAGTTGCAGTTTAAATACCATCAGACTTTGACAACTCAGCAACCCAAAATTACTTCTCCCACAGAGCACAGTTGCTCAACTGCCATGTATATATATAAAAAAGGTTTAACCATAAATCATTTCGCTAGGGATAAATATTAGTTTAGGGGCTACCTTAACGTTGAATGTTATTTCCTCCATGACGTAAACTCGTTCAGGAAATGCTTTAGCCACCTCCTCCACACTGTTAAAATACTGCACTGGCTCCTTAATATCACGGTCTTGTTCCAGCAGCTTAAACTGCCCTGAAAACAGATGATAAAATAGAAGAGCAATAAGATATTTATATTGGACGGCTGTTTCTGTGGCAACTGCTAACGCATTCCCTACGCTATTTAACTTGGTCAGTTTCCTCCAATTATTAACAGTTAGGCAATGGAAGAACAGATTGCACAACTCTTTGCGAACCTGAAAAGGAAAGAGTTACCAAGCTTTGCTAAACCGGAATTAGAAGAATGTGTGTGGGCCGACGTGAAATTTAATAGAATTTACAGGCGGGCTCTCTGGAAGTGGACTGAAAGCACGAATGCATTCTCATGGTAGAATTACACACAGATTTCTGCACATTTAGAACTTTCCCCAACACGTTACTGTACTTTATGTGTTAAAAGCACAAACTCAATTTTTACAGGAAAGTACCCCAGAAAAAGAAAAGCACAGATCTGTAAGAACTGAAGAAATTTCACTGGCCAATTCACAGTGTTCCCAAGAGCCCCTTTTGAGGGGCACAAAGCTTAGGGATATTCACCAGTTTTCAGAATTTCTGTTCTGCTGCTTCACAAAACATTGCATTTTTGAAGCCACTTTCATGGTCACATAATAGGTTAAACTGTCAAGTCACTAGAGTTCTGTGAAAACAGGCAGTGTTATTAGTGTTTATCACAATGCACTGATATGCTTTCTGGTTGTTTTGTACTACGATGCCAATTAGCCCCAGGCAGCACGGCCAATGATCAGGGTGATGGGCATTGTAGTCCAAAACATATGGAGAACAGGATCCCAGCAAGATGGCTTTTGGGAAAGCTAAGTCTTTATTTCCCATGCTTGATACTTACTGTATATGGGCAGTACAAGCTAGTCTGGAAATAAAGCCTGTTGACGTCACAAAATACTCACAAAGGGTTATCTGCTCCACATACCAATACTCTGTATATAAATTTGGGGTCACATACAGGAAGTTCATTTAAATAAAACCTAATTGCATTATGTCTTGCTGTAACGAAATAGAACTAGCACAATACAGTTTTTTTACAAACTGGGAATGTATGGTAAAGATTTACTTTTGCTTGGAATAAGATCTGGATGGTAAAAGCACCATTGTTTATTGTTAGGGTTAGGGTTAGGGTTCATTGTTATTCACATGAACATTTTATCAGTGGTAACAGCCAGCACATGAAACTGATATATTGCATGAATCAATTCCTACAATTCAACCATGGTACTAGCTTTGATATAATGTGGACACAATATCAATCAATGAAGATAAGCTTATCAAATGATAAGATTAATTTGTAATAAGTACCACCAATGCAATACTATGGATTTGACATCCGTGACTGTAATTTATAGAAACTAATTATCAGCAACATGCACTTAAAATATCAATAGTGTGAGGTAGAATGTAGCAGTCATGAACTCACCAATAATTTAAACCTTTTTTTCGTATAGGTATATACACCCCCACCCCAACTTACCACAAACCTTAATTCAATACTACTTCCTAAGTGCAAGCAGTTATCTGAAATATTATTTGGAACATTATTATTCTACACTAATTTAACAGATTAATTTTTTTTGCAAAAACAATACTTGAGATTACCACGCTCCCCAAGATGCTGAAAACAGTTGGCTGTCCTAGGACTAATTTATATGTTCATTTTTGGAACTGTGTTTGGAGACTCTTGAGAGTCCCATGGACTGCAAGAAGATCAAACTTATCCATTCTTAAGGAAATCAGCCCTGAGTGCTCACTGGAAGGACAGATCGTGAAGCTGAGGCTCCAGTACTTCAGCCACCTCATGAGAAGAGAAGACTCCCTGGAAAAGACCCTGATGTTGGGAAAGATGGAGGGCACAAGGAGAAGGGGATGACAGAGGACGAGATGGTTGGACAGTGTTCTCAAAGATACAAACATGAGTTTGACCAAACTGCGGGAGGCAGTGAAAGACGGGAGGGCCTGGCGTGCTCTGGTCCATGGGGTCACAAAGAGTCGGACACAACTAAACGACTAAACAACAATAGCTTTTTGCTGTTTTCCCCTGACATACAGAACATAAGAAGAGCCTGCTGGATCAGATCAATGGCTCACCTAGTCCAGCATATCCTCTTCTCATTTCACATAGTGACCAAACCAGATGACTGTGGGAAACCTGCAAGCAGGATTCGAACACAGGAGCCCTCTCCCCAAGCACGCTATTTCAAATGTGCTTCCACATTCACAGCAACCCAGCACCAAATCCCCCTTCTATTCAGTGTGGAATCTCATTTATGTGCCATGAACCTTTAGTTGGCAGATATTAATATAAAGGAAAAAAACAGAGATATACAATACAGATTGCGTATAAAGTATTTGAAAGGCACTGTTGTTGATTGAAAATCCTGTGGGAAACAGCAACAAGTGCACTGTCCTGTTATTTTGAGTGAAAACAGACTACCCACTTAGCAAATATTCCTATTTAAGAAATCCTGCATGGGACTTCAGGTCGCTGGGTGAGCTGTATCTCTAGAAACACAGATATGGAAAAGTAACCACATATGGCATTGTACAGCAGGGACTATGGATGGGTTCTCACAACATGGCAAGCCAAAGTATGGTTTACCAAGATTGTGCAAACATACAGGCTCCCAGAGACGAGCTCACAGTTGTTCTGCTCCTCTCTGGTCCTTTTTGCTCCCATGCTGCACTGAGCGATGCCAGATTTGGCATAGTGAGTCGTCTGAATCCAGGCCTATGGTTAAAACTCACTCATTAACCACAAGCTCCAACCAACTTTAATTCTGCTCTCTGGGAGCCTGCACAATTCCAGCAAGCTATAGTTTACTGTATCATGTGAACCAAGTTGATGTGGCAAACAGTTTGCTTTTGCCCACTCTTAACTGCACAGTATTTGGCGCACGCACGCGCACACACACAATACATACATACAAATATATATTGAAATTGTTGCAACTGTTCAGTGTACTGATGCCATGCTACAGAGGACAGAGTTGGGGGGTTGACAGCAAACTCCCACTTCCTCTGATTTTTATTCATTTGCTGAAAAGTCTTGCTGAGTTCGCTACTCCTACATCAGAGCCTCCTTTTTAAAATATGAAGGCTTAGTTCATTCATTGACATCTTGCTTATTGTGCATTCTTCTGTGCCTTTCAGGTTTTGACCCTGGTCCATGTTAAACAGGCTGCGGTGGAAGTGTAGGATGCTGTATAGTAAAAAATTCCATTGGACAGGGACAGTTATGTAAACATTTCTGCTTCTGCCTGGAACTCTGGATAGAACAAGCAAGCCTTGAAAGAAGAACTGCTTTCGAAAAGCAGGATGTTTGAATATGTACATAGAGCAACCCCATGTAAAAGACTGCTTTTGTTTCACAAGGAGGAAGCTTTTAAATTTACTGAATGGGAGGATTTAATTCCAAAAAAGAGTCTATATGGCTATATAGTTTTTGGCAATATGTATTCATAGTACATTATAATGTGGGAAGAAATTAATTCTAGTTTAACCAGCATTCAGCATTCTAAAACCCAGTAGCCATAATAAAGTGTGTACATACATTAAAACAGATATTTTTTTATTTTAAAAAAGGTTCTCCTGTGTATTCTTGAACACAGGCAGTGTTTGAGTTATTTTCTCTTTGTAGCATGCATACTGTATACATTTCTCCCTCGTAGAACACCCACAGTAGAATGAATCTGGGAAACATTTCCCCATCAGGGTCCTTCCAACTCTAGAATTCTATGATTCTACCAGCAAAACAAGTTGCAATGAATCTATTCCTTACTCCTAAAACTCAAGAGATGAGACAATTATTAACACTCATTGAATGCACTGGATAAACATTATAAAAATATAGATGTAAGAATTGTGAATGTGCACATTTCTCTACATTTGGGACCTGCAACGTGATGTTGCAGCATGTCACAATTTCTGTTTAGTGTTCAAGCCAGCCAGCCAGCCAGCCTTGCCTTGCCTTCCTCCATATGCCTTCCTCCATATGCCGTTCCATTCTCCCATTCCACCTCCCTCGCTTCACCCCCAACAGTTAACTTTCCATGGTCATTGAACACATTTGGTTCCTATTGGCTTCTTCTGTTCCCCACTCTGACACTAGGTCCTTCCCCCACCAGATTTTGTACTTCTGCAAATCATGGCATTTTCCTGTGCGTGGGAGGTGCCTTTTTGGCTACATAAGCACTAGCACTGACATTTGAACAGGATCTTTTTAGAAGCTATTTTAAGACACTTTAAAACTGTTTCAGATAACGGTTTACAATAAAATAGCTGGAAGCACATGGAACCATCTTTTTACATGACTTTAACCAATCCTGCAGGACAAGCCCTCTTAACATTGGCTGAGGTTATAAAAGGATTGTAGAGGAACATAGAAAAAAAGACAATGAGGCACCAACAGGAAAGGCAGTTTTCCTGCCTGGTGCTAGGCTCTCATTTATCACCTTGGTTGCAGACATGTTACTTAGAAGGACTTCTTAAGTAGCCTTTAATTGCTGTCACCCCAGTAAAAATAAAAGCCTTGGCCTAATGCAATATCACCACTTTCCTAACCTATTTTACCCCCACTTTTGACAGATTAGTTGTGAGGTCATGGGAATGCGGCATACATAAGGAATCTGCCTGTCAGACGGGAGGTCTGCAATACATAGCCTGGAGTTGGCTATTCCCTGATCTGAAATACCAGCTATCTGGTTCTCTCGTTGCCATTGGTTCAGCTGCTCCACTGTCACACAAAACTTTGCAAGCCTTGAGCACTGATTGGGAAGAATGGAAAAACCTTTAATTTAGAGTTCTGAGCTTTGCTGCCAACTTAGGGCTAAATTTAAGTGTTGGAGTGAATTAATCTCATGAACACAGCACAAGGACAGAATGAATTGTTTCATAGCCTTTACTTGAAAACCAAGTGCTATGGCACTTGCTGCTTATAATACAAATAATAGAATCTCTGATATACTTTGCAAGAAGTCTAGATCATTCTCCCCACCACCACCACCACTTCACAGATATATGTATATT